TTGATTTTAATCCATAATTTAATCTTTTGATAACCATCGAAGTATATTTTTTCTACTTAAAAAGAGAAGTTGCTGAAGTTGTAATATTTTGAGTTGAAATGAATTTCAAGTATTAGAGGAAGGTTTTATTGTATAATAGAATCGAAACAGCCACCCTTCATAACAAAGCGGTTAACTTTTATCTTTATAATTATTTTCCTTTATTACTTACTTATTAATTAAACAAATTTTCTACCGTTAAAAAAAGCTTCCTACAACTCGAACGTTGAAAAGAATATAAGTTCTAGAAAGTTGGTAATGCAACTGGTTAAAAAGCAACTATAAGTAAGGCTGCTAATTATCTCTATTATTTCTTTATTCGTTATTAAATAACCTAAGAAGTAGTAAAATAGAATTATAAATTTCTATATTTTAATTCGTATAAAGTAGTTTAAAGTCGTATATTAATGAATAAAGTATTTTAGCTACTCTATTTAATAGTATTGTAATTTCTTTGTTAATAAACTACTATATAGTAGTATGATTTATTAAAGTATGACGAAGTAAAAGATAGTATTTATGTTGATTATAAAGGTTAAATTGCTATTATTTCTCAATATAATTAAGTAATCACTATTATATAGTTATATTAGAGTATTAATATTCTTATTAAATTGAATATACTTGTAATTAATTACAAGAATACTTGAATTATTAGGGTAATTATCGTTGAAGTAGCTAAATTAATAACTAAATTGAAGCACGTACATATCTATAATTATTAGCTATAATGAAAGATTTGGGAAAGGAAAATTAACATTAAGTATTTTGAAATGAAAACAATACCCGCTAATGGATTAGCGAAAACCTTAAATTATTAAGAATATAAGATCTTCCCATGTGACTAATGGCAGTCTGATCTGCCTAAGTGGGATAGCTGAAGGTAGATAACTATTAGTAGACGTTCAATAAACTCAAAAGGTTCACAACAAGTATAGTAGCGTTATACTAGTCTTGGTGATAATAATCAATTGACTACTGTCTAACTATCTAACAATATAAGTTCTCCAGCATCTCTTTTATACCTGCTCGCCCTTTGCGAGATATCTGTCTCCGGCTACTCATAATCCGTGAGTCTCATAACTATCTGGTAACTAGTTGACTTGTTCAGCGAGTCTGGCTCGACTGGTGAGCCTGGCTCAACGGGTGAGTCCTTGCCTGCTCACAAGTTCTTCCCCTGCTGTAGTTACACTGCCCAGCCTTCGCGTGGCTGTAGTGTTCCGGTAGCTTGGTTGACCCGTGCTTAAGTTCGTAACATTCGGGAACTAATGAGAATAGCGAATACGCTATTTAGAATTAGTGATAGAGTTGTGAAAGTCAGAAATAACTTGCTGGAAGACGTTTATAACTTTATTAGGGAGATTACAATTCTGAAAAAAAAAATTATTTAATTAATCCATAAATAGCTTCACTTTTGCCCTATTTAAAAAGCTTGCAAGTAAGGAGGTGTATCAGATTTGTGGGTGGATTTATAGCTAAGCCATTTCTAGGTTAGCCTCCCAACTACCTGATTTCTGGCACTGGGGACCCCCTTCTGGGTATCTCCAGCACCCCCAAACCTTCTGGCACGGTCGCACTACAATCAATCAATTCTGCACGGTCAATCTGACAGTTCCCCATTGTCATGGATCTCCGAATCTGGATTTCTAATCCACCTCCAGGCAATGTCAGCCTTGGCTTTGGCTGATCGTGCCTGGATTATGTAATCAGCTCTCGTTATCACAAGTACAAAAACATCAACATGAGATGAGAACCTCCAGGTCGTCTTACCAACTTGACTATGCCCGAGATCGCGATGCCTCTCGTCAATGGAGGAGGGGAAACTGGTTCGCGGGAATAGTTAACTGGGTGAGTGCCTCGTTTTTTCCAAGGGAGTCGAACGGCTCAGTAATCATGTTTTACATGCACCATCCATTGGAAGGTTCGGAACTAACGAACCGTTCACAATGCACATGTTCGCAGTCGACTGCGTCCGCACAATCTGATCGACTGTCCTCCCCCACGTTGCGTGTCGGCGATGAAACTGAATGCAGCCAGGGCTTGGTATAATTCTGACCACTGAGAGCCACTGGTAACCGCACCTTTCATCAATCCTTTATCTTATCATCTTATATAATCGGAACAAATGGAAATATGCTACAGTAGAACTGTGCGGCACGTGCCTCGGCTCGTGATACCCCTCGTCGTGACCGCGACCGGAACTTGAACCCATCACATCAAGTATTTTCAAGCAACCCAGGAGTCTGCAACGACAATGAATATTTCTTCCATAATCATCTCCAAAGACACTCCACCCGCACGTCCAGATTATTGTTATGGTATCGACCCGCAACGGCAGTCAACGCACGACTTCAGTGTTCAATCATCTTCACAAAAAACACACCCAACATGGAAGCATCTAAAGTTCTGCGATGAAATATTTCTTTCATTCTATCATAATATCCAAAGAAACAACACTCATTCCCCATCTCCGACTCGTTCTCATGGTATCAACCCCAACCCCCGACCCAAATAAACCTTAAACACCGCCCAATGCAACCAGACTCCGAGTCCCTCATCCCCATTTTAACTCTTTAAGATACATACACAAAAAACAATCTGAGCCGTTGATCAATGATCGTTAAGACAAAAAAAAGAAAAGAAACAGTTCCCCGCCCCTAAAGAAGTTGAAACACAAAACTCGAATCAAATCATTATTAAAAACCCCATTTTTCATCATCCTAAATCACTGCACATTCAAAAATAAATCATCCCCCCTCCTCGTCGGCGTCAACTCCGGCACCCAGCCAGGAGTGATCGGCGGCGGCGGAAAGTCCACGAACCGCTCATTGGTGTTGTTGGGGTTACCACCGTACGGGTTTTGAGACGGCAGGGTTGCCCTAGCGTTGTTGTTGTTGTTGTTGTTGTTGCCCCAGTTCTGAGCTTGGCCTTCTTGCCAGTACTGTTGTTGCTGTTGCTGTTGCTGCTGTTGGCCATCTCTAGCCCACCCCTTTGCGGGTCTGCCGATGCTCTTGTTAGAGCTGCTGTTGGGGTTGGGGTTGAGGGCAAGTGCTGCGGCCTTTTCGGCACCGAGGCGCTTGGTGAGCAGGGAAGAACTGTTGGTTCTTGTGTGTTGGTGCTGAGCTCCATGCTGATGCTGGTTCTGCTGCGGTTGGGCTGGCTGGGCAAAGATGGGCCATGATCGTTGAGGCTGTTGGGGTCTGTATTGACGCTGCTGCTGCAGCAGCATCTGAGCCTCATAGTGTCCCTGAGAAGGACGGAAGTAGGTGGGCTGCTGCTGTGCTCGTTGAGCTTGCTGCAACTGGCGTTGCTGCTGCTCCCACTGGCGTGGCGATGGGGCACGGTAGTAGTATGCAGAGCCCTGTCCCTGTCCTTGTGGGTGTTGTTGCTGGCCATTCCAATAGCCATTGGGGCCAGTAGCTACTGAGCTTTGTCTCCTCTGGGGTTGCTGGCGCTGCTGTTGCTGGTGCTCAACCGGCACGGCAATCGGGAAACGTCCCTCGGGGGATCCAGTCCTCGTCTGTCCAGGGTTCTTGTTCCTGTTTGCGTTAACAACAGGAGCGTTCATGGGCCTCGACATGCCGACCATCAACTGAGGTGTTCCATGGGGAACTGCACCCATGCGGAATGCCTCGTTATCTCGCTCTTCCGGGGTCACGATCCTGATGGGAAACCGTCCCTGTCCCTGAGCTTGGCTTTGTCCCTGCTGCTTGGACATGCGCTTGGAGTTGCGCCTGGGGGGTTCGGGACCGGAAGTACCACTGCCCAGAGCCTGTTGAGCATCGCGAAGCTGCTGCAGGCCCTCATTCACATTCTTTTCCTGCTTGTGAATCTTGGGATATGACACCGGTGACTTTCCGTTAGAAAGAGGGCTCGGCGAGTACGGCGATTCCGCCACGGGGGAAAGATCCTGGCTATCATCTTCTTCGTCTCCCGACTCGATCTCTGTGGCAGAGTCCTGGGACATCCGACGTTGCCGGGTCGTCCTCTTGACGGACTTGCGCTTGGTTTTGGTGCCTGTCAAGTTCCTCCCGTTGTTGTTTGCAGACGGCGCTGACGAAGGCATAGTGGGCATGGGGTTCTCCGGGCCAGGTACCACGGTCAGAGGAGCGTTGTATTCAGAGTAGACGCTGGATGCCACGTTATCCCGGGCATGTGCATCATCTCTCATGGCAACAGGTGATTCCACAAAGGCATCCTGCTCCCGCTCTCTGGAGGGTACTCTAAGGGGAGCCACGACCATGCCGGGTGTGTACGGCATATAAGCCCTTTCGGCCTTCGTCTTGTCTTGCGGGCTTGGCAACTCGACAGAAGAGGTTGGGTATGGTGGCATTTGGTTCTTGGATCCCGCGCCTACAGTGGAGTTTCTGAGGACCCAGTTGCCCTTCTTATCAGCAAAGTAGTAGGTGGTTGCCGATTGAGGATCACTTGGCGGCGGACGCCAAATAGCAGTACCCGACCTGCTCTCTCCTTCGCCATCCTCTGCAAACTCGGTAATGACACTATCTCTTCCGGTCAGAGGCGCAGCGTTGGGAGCTGGGGCAGGAACAGCCCTCGGGATAGCGGCTGGGACAGCAGCGGGCATTGATGGATTCTTCGGAATAGCCAAAGTCAAGTTCGGCTTTGGCGTCTCCTTCCTACCAAGTGGCGTCTGGGTCCGGGAAGCCGGAGTGATTACCATGGCTGGCGGCAAAGCAGGCATGGGCAGAATAGGGGCTGCGCCGGCAGTAGCTCTGGTCACTGTAGGTCTGGGAGAGTTTGACGCCGAAGCGGATCCAGGCATGATCGCCAGACCAACGCCGTCCGCCCTCGGTGCTTTCGTGGGCCTAAACGGAGGAGTGCCCGGTTGCGAAGACGAAGGAATTCTCTGGATCGGATAGCTGATGCCCAGCAAATCGGGACCGGTGATGCTTCTGCGGTCCGAAACTCTTGAACGAGTCCCTCATCCTGTTGAATCCCTTCTCCGGATCCCGGGAACCCATTCTCTTGCGGCGCGCGCACTTAGCCAATAGTACAAGCGCTGCACCCAGAGCCACAACCGCCACACAACCTATCGTGATCCCAGCAATCTGAGCGCTGGTGAGTTGCGGTGATTGCTTTTCAGCGGGCGCCCCACCGGAGCAGATACGCCTGATGTACCTGATGTGGCCGGCGCTGTTGTGCTGGAAGCCGTGGGTTCCACACTTGGAACGGAGCTCGGACTCGTGCTCATGATTGAGGTTTGAGCCGTGCTGGACTCAATACTGGTCGTGGAAGTAAGTCCTGAACTTGATGTTGTTGTATGCGTGCTCGGTGAAGCTGTAGCAGTGGTGGAGGCAGGAGCCGCTGATTTCGTTACTGTCGAAAGTGCGGCACTGCCAGTGCCTTTTGTTAAAGTTGGAGCAGCAAGGTTCCCTGCCCCCGTTGGGAGGATCAGAGTTGCCACAATAACATCGTGAGTCCTCGACGCCGAGTCATCAACACTGTCGCAGATATTATACGCCTTTGTTGTTGCTTGAACTGCCATCAGTCAGCCTCCCACCCACCTCGCACCAGAATCTGATATCAAATCACTTACCACCAGCCGTAGTGTCCTTGCAGTTTCCCAACTCCTTCTCGCCAATCATGCAGGCTACTGCTCCCTCCCCTAGTGTATATCCTCCGCCGCCTGTCTGCTTGCACATGCATCGTAAAGATGGGGTCTTTCCTCCACAGGTGAGATCGAGGTTTGCTGATATCCATGATTGGAAGCATGGCCTCGCGCACGTCGGCACGGTTTCTACTATCGATGTCGGTATTTGCGGTTCGGCTGCTTGAGCGACTGCTGAGATGGTCGTCCATAGTAAGCCCAAGCACAAGAATGGCTTGAAGGCCATAGTACTGGGCAACATCTGGAGGTGAGGTTAGTGATGAGATTCGGAGACTGATCATGGAAGACAACGCCCGCGCCCCGACTTCAGCAACATATCGTGATATTTGGTTGAAAGGAGAGAAGGTGTTCCTTGCTCCAGTCCAGGTTCCCTTTCTTTCTTGGATCCCTCCCTCTCAGTCCACTTCGAGTAGCTATTGACCTGTTATGCTGGCCCAGTGGCGAGATCAATGGTGCCGGATTCAGTATCCAATGACGTGGGAAGCCGAACCAACAGACCTTCGGGCGGTTGGAATGCAAATCGCATAACAAGATGTACGAAGAAACCAACTTACCGAGCTTAAATGAGATTAAAAATTAAGAGGAGATGACCAGCATCTCCGCGTCGAGTAATGGGACCAAGGAAAATTCGAAACTAAGGAAAAGGCGTTGGGCCGGGAAGAACGGATGCCGTATTGTATGTGATGATTATCGAACCCGAAACAAACAATGTGAATGCATGAAGTATATCGTGATGTAAGAAGCGGCCGAAGGAGGGTGAGCTGATGTCGAGAAATGCTGATTATGAAACGGGAACCGAATGTGATAGGAGAGGAAACACACAGAAAACACACAAGAAAAAGAGATGTGGAAATGATGATATTGAAGGAAGGATGAAGATGGTACCTGGGAAAGAAAAGAGAAAATCCGAGAGAGGAAAGTCTTGGATGAGGCTTGAACGCCATGTGTCACACTCCACTCGGGGTCCTATACAAGGTAACCAGCCTCGACACTCACGAGCCATGCCATCATCATGTGTACCACAAAGTCAAAAGCAGTAAAGTCCCGGTGTGCTGCGCTTAACGATACCAGCAATCTCGTCGCCATCCTGGCCGTGGCCAATGACTTTGAAGTCGTACCCATGCCACCTACCCGCAGAGACGCGCTAGAACTCGTGAGTAGTGAGTACCCTGTACCCGACGACTGAGGAGTCCGAATCGCCAGCTGGGGTCTATTGGACCTCTGGCTATGGCATCATTGCGTGTAGGACATGAGAGACGTTCCATTGCAGGCATGGCTTCGACGGTGTTCATATCCCTTGCACAAGGTGGCTGACGAATGGAGCAGTAAAGAGAAACAGGCGATCTGAGAAGAGGCACCTGTCCTGGGTAAAATTCAGGTCCGCCGTCCTTTCATTGGTCTCAAAATATGGCAGATCTATTTCGGGCGCCATGATATCCGGAATTGCACATGGGTGCCAACGGCGGGGAGGGTGAGAAACACTGTGGCGGTTCTCCAGTCGACTGGCCAAAGTTGGTATGCAGGAACAACACCCGCAGATAGATGAATGGCTGTGAAGGCTCGGAGCTGGGAAGAGGTGGGCGAGTGAGAGACTGACGCCGGGTACGCGCTTGGTTGGCGCTTAAAGCGTAGGCGAGACCCCGGACACGCCCAAGGGTGGTGGGCGCCAACAGGCCAACGACGCTATTCCCGTTCGGGTACCACCCCAGATTCTCACGAGCCACAACGCTCGCCTCAACGATCCAGTGTTTTGTGCATACGGCTCGCGGGCCGATCACGTGGAGCTTCCCATATAAATGTCCAGTGTCTCATCCAAGATCTCAGATTGTGAGCTTGAGGTTGTCTTCATCAGCCCAAGCACCAAGTCTGCATTTTCACAGCCACATACTACCACTCTGACGAACAAGGCAACAAGCACCTTAATAACGACTGCGGGACTGCGATACTGAGCTACAATGATTTATACACAGCTCCAGCTAACACGCATCCATATCCGAGCTCACGGACCGAGTGAATCCAGATAAATACCGTTGTCAAGGGAGATGTGCCGTATGGTACACCTTTGCTGGATCACAAAGACGACCAAGTGCCGAGCCTGCCGTCGTGTTAATTGGTGTAAAACTGCGTACAGTATTCATCGCGTTGGGCCATAAAAGATAGCCGGTCCTGGCTTGACGGGATCCATGCCATCCAGCTGGACGCGAACCATACCGAGGGCCGTGCTCGATCCTGAGAGGTGCTCTAACATTCATCATGAAGCCGACATATAACTACATATCACGACGGTTGAGTCGCAGATATATAAGCCTCCGTAGCCCCATTTCACACGAGACACTATGCACCTGAAAAATTATGATACCCTGGCGCCTACCGGTAGGCATCCTGGTGTACCATGGTCGGGTAGTATTAAACACGTCTTGGACGATTTTGTTAACTGCAAAGTAATCTGGCTTTCGCCCACTGTTGGTATCTCTTTGATCTAAACTCCCAATTTTCCATTTTCAATGACAGAATATGCGCATCATGAGTTCACTCCCATATACCGTTTCCGACTGTGCTTCCCATAACTTGATGCCGCAGCAACGATGAAAAGACATGATCCCTCGCCTACGCTAGATGATTCAGTTGATAAACTCCTTATGCAACAGCTTACCACCATCTGCTAACCTGCGGCGTTTGCGGCAGCATCGGCGATGGAGAGAAAAACGACTTCAACGCCTTCAACGACTTGGAATCCTCTTCGACACTCATTGATCGGCCAGATACCTAAACGGCCGAATCAGTAGCGCTGGGAACGTACTCCGCCTGGGCCCTGCTCGACTTGATAACTTCCTGCACCTTCCTCTCGGTATCATCCAGGTCATTAGGATCCAGCTGGATAAGGTCGATTCCGTAGAATTGTGCGATCTGGGAAAGCGCCTCGTAGCTCCTGCGGTCGTGGACAAAGCTGATCGAGACACCAACACGACCGAAACGACCGGTACGACCAATACGGTGAAGGTAGGTCTCCGCGTCCGGCTCCCTCTCGCCCGGTCCCTTCATCGGAATGTCGTAGTTGATGACCATGGACACACTGGAAACATCAATACCACGCGCCAGAACGTTTGTGGTGATGAGGACCTTGGAACGTCCGGAGCGGAATTCATCGAGAAGAACATCACGGCTTTGGCCTTCGTAGGCACCGTGAAGGGCCGAAACCTTATGGCCATCGGCTTCCATGCGCTTCTGGATCTCGTTGGCCGTCTCTCTCGTCTGGGGGAAAGCACGTTAGCAAAAGCATGGCAGCAGCATTCGAGGGAAAACATACCCTGACGAAGATGACGGATGAACCAATGGTCATGAGACCATAGAGCTTGCAGAGAATGTCGTATTTGTCCTTCTCAGTGGGGCAGTCCATGAACATCTGTGAAATGCCCTTGACCGTAAGCTCCTTGTGCTTGAGCTTCATCTGGTTGGCGTTGGGTGCGAAGCGCTCGGCAAATCTCAGAACCTTGTCGGGGAACGTCGCAGAGAAAAGGAGGATCTGAATGGTCTTGGGGAGGAGGCTACTCAGCGTCAGTTCCGATCAAGGTTGCATAACACATCTGTTTAGACTGTACTTACCTCTTGACGCGGACACACTGATCACCCAGGCCCTGCTGGTCAAGCATGTTGTCGGCCTCGTCAATAACAAGAACCTTCAACTGCGAGGTGTCAAACTGCCTGCGCTTGCAAAGGTCCATGACAGTTCCCGGAGTTCCAACGACGACGCTGCCTCTAACACCGGTCTCGCGCGAAATGGCACCAGGAATGGCGGCCTCAACAATCAGGTTCTCGCAGAACTGACCAATGGTCTGAATAACGGTCTGGATCTGGCGGGCAAGCTCTCTGCTGGGAGCAAGCAGAAGGGCTTGGGGCTGGTGGGGCTTGGACAGGTCGATGCGGGAGAGAACAGTAAGGACGAAAGCGGCAGTCTTTCCAGTACCGGATTGAGACTGGGCAATCATGTTGCGGGGAGGGTCGGAGAGCATGAGAGGAAGGCACTTCTCCTGGACCTTGGAGGGCTTCTTGAAGTTGATGGCGAGCAGACCACGGTTGACAGCCTCGGGAAGACCCAGCTCCTCAAACGAGCTGACGGAGTAGAGGGGGCTTTCGGTGTCATTCTGAAGATCGCTCAACTTAATCTCGACTTCGTACTCGTTCTTGACAAGGTTGCTCTGGCTCTCTTCGATGGAGGTTTCGTTCTCGGGGGCCTTGGGCTCTTCGGACGCAGGGGCAGGCGCGGGCGCAGCCTCGGGAGCGGCAGCCGGAGCCTCGTCGGGCTTGGTGATGCGGCTGGCGAGATCGGCCATTATGACGTCGTATTTGGGAGGGACTGCTGGCAATCATCAAAATTGCAAGGTCAGTACGATGAATATTTCGTTTCCTCCTCCCAGTACTCCGGCTATCGCAAGGAGCTGAGACGTGGGTGAGCCAAGATTCAAGCTGCGCTTAGGTTCGTCAGGTCTTGATGCCCCGCGTCCCAATTCAACGCGCCAGACCAAGGCCGCAGGAGACGGCGCAGACAGTGGCAAGCTTACCGCAGGGAGAGTTCTTGTTGGATCAAACAACTTGGATCTTTCAGACAGACGTCCGAATACCTGGAATGTTGAGCTGTCGGTGACCACAAAGCAACTGCCAGCAGTGGTTTGTGGGCGGGAGAGAATGCGAAGAAAAGAAAGCTGTCGGCAGAAAGAGATTCTGGCAATGGCAGGGTTGACTGGCGAGGAAGTCGCGACGCCGTCAAACCACTCCCCAGCAATAGTGGGGCATCTGCATCTTCCAGTTGGTACCTTGCCCTGGAGTGGACGCTGGCAGGATGCCCTGACACTGCTGACAGGCCTGAATGGACAAAGCACGAGCCAGCACCTGCAGCGTGGCTTGGTGGGGTCATGAATCGTTGGGTCTCGGTTCCTTCCTTCGTTTTGGCGGCTTCAAGTCCATTTGTTTCTTTCGGCCAAACGAGGTTTCTCTCTGCGTCTTGTGAATTCTCCTCCTTCAATAACGATATCTTGCTTCCTCATCAGTTTCCATGCAGTTAACGCACACTGCCTAGACCGCACTATTGTGGCACCGGCCAAGCCGCAGGTCCGACGGCACAGCTGGGGCCTTCTTAATTGAGTAGCCACCAGCCCCCCATTCCACGTTGCCATTCTCATTATCATCACCCAAGCGCAGTGGGCATTCATCGTACTACCAGCTCTCGCCGGCTGCTCGGGCTACGGTGTACGGACCGGGATAGCCAGCCGATTTGCACTCACCTTCAGCTGTTGGAGGGGTACCTGACCTCCTACCTTCTCTTGCTTCCTTTCTTTGCTCCTACTTGTAGTTGCTTGTCCCTTACGCTACATCTGTCGTGCTCTTTCTTCCACTTTAAACACACCCGCTCGTCGATCCCGTCTTCTCGGCCGCGTTCCTCAAAGACCCAACGGGTTCCTGCCTCCACTTGTACACACCCAGGAACAGCACAGCGTGATCGATTCATCATTCGATCTAGACAGACAGACCGACAGCTGACGGCGCAATCCACTCATCTTCCCCCGAAGACCGAATTGCATGTTTACCCGAGTTCTCCTTTGCATGGTTATACACGACGACAACTCTCCATATTAAAGGAAACTACTAAAAAAAAACCATGGCCGAGGTGGAAATTGCGCCATCCTTCGGCACAGTCCTCAAGGTTGTCATTGTCTTTCCTGGCCGGCTCAGAGGCTTTCGCTTACGGCTGTGGCCTTGACTAACATGCTCTTACGCAGGATGGCTTCAAACCGGCCAATGTCTATGTGGCCAACAACATTGCCTTCTTCGACGATGTCCAAGCTTACTTTCGCGAACGGAGCGCCGCCGAGAAACGATATAGTGCCGAGCTCAGCGCGATAGCAAAGAAGTACTACGACAAGAAAGCCAAAAAGTCAACGAGCTTGAGTGTCGGCGATACCCCTACAATGACCCCTGGGTCCCTTGAGAGGTACGACAATGTGTTGGAACATGGTCACATTTGCTTGGGTGTTCTATGCCAGCTGACTGACGGGTTTCCGTGTAAATAGTGCCTCGATGACTACATGGTCTACGATCCTAACGAAGCTTGAACTGGTCGCCAGCGAACACGACCGTCTCGCGACCGAGTTTGTCACCAAGATTGCGGACCCGATCAAAGACGTGGCCATGAAACTGGATGCGCAACGCAAGCGCCAAGTCGAATATGCTGAAAAGCTCGAAAAAGAAAAGGAAGTCCAGTATGCCGCACTGCAGAAAGTCAAGACCAAGTACGACTCGGTATGCCAGGATGTCGAGAGCAAACGCAAAAAGTCAGAGTCAGCATTCGACAAGGCAAAGGCGCAAAGTTCGTTCCAACATCAGCTACAAGAGATGAACAACACGAAGAACACCTACCTGATCGCCATCAACGTTACCAACAAGCAAAAGGAGAAGCACTACCACGAATTCCTTCCCGAAGTCATGGACAACCTGCAAGATATTGCCGAGTTCCGCACAATGAAGTTGAACGGGTTCTGGTCTGAAGCCACTCAGCTCGAGTTTTCCATGCTTCAGAACTGCAGTGGTGAGGTTGATCACATGGCCAAGGAGATTGTGCGGAATGAACCTCAGCTAGATTCGATGATGTACATGCAGCACAATACAGGCGCTTTCCAGGAGCCTCCCGACAAGGTCTTTGAGCCAAGCCCAGTATGGCACGACGACGAGTCCATGGTTACGGACGAGCCAGCCAAGATCTATCTGCGCAACGTGCTGAACAAGTCAAAGGGCCAACTCGGGGAATTGCGGCGCGAAGTTGATAAGAAGAGGCGAGAAGTGGAAGCAGCAAAGCGAGCGAAACAGAGGGTGCTAGAAGGGACAGAGCAAACACAGGATGAGTTCTTCGTTCTCACACAGCTCTTTTTGCAGCAAGAGGACCTGCATCAGGTCGACCGGAAGCGGTTGACAGCAGAGGTCGAGACGTCTACGATTACTTCAGCCGTTGGTGACGTGACACTGGGTGCCAAGAGCCACAACTTCAAGTCGCAAACCTTCAAGATTCCCACCAACTGCGACTTGTGCGGAGAGAGGATGTGGGGCTTGACAGCCAAGGGCTTCGATTGCCGGGACTGCGGGTATACTTGCCATAGCAAATGCGAGATGAAGGTGCCAGCGGAATGCCCAGGGGAGCTGAACAAGGAGGAGCGTAAAAAGTATAAGCAGGAACGACAAGAGCTGGCCAACCAGCTGCTCAAGCCTACCGCATCGTCGAGCCATGTTAACGAGATGCCGGATCTCACTCGGTCAAACACAGTCAGCTCTGTGCGTTCTGGGTATGCGGCCAGCGCTCAAAGATCGATTTCGGGGCCCATTTCTCCTGGCGACGATGCCCCTCCAGATGTTCCTAATACAAGGCCACCGGCAGCCTCCCCAGCACCGTCTAGTGCACCCCGGAAGAATCGCATCCTGGCTCCGCCACCGCCCGCATTCATTAGCGAACTGCCAGGAAGCGCGCCTAACGGTGGTGGGCATCAGGAACAAAAGGCAAAGATGCTCTACACCTTCGAGGCTGGAGGTGAGGGCGAACTCTCGGTGCCCGAGGGAAGAGAACTCGTGGTCTTGGAACCAGATAGTAAGTACCGTTGCTCTTGGGTTGATTGATACGAGTAGCTTACACAACCTTTAGCTGGAAGCGGGTGGACAAGGGTGCGGGCGGGCTATAAGGAAGGCAATGTACCGACATCATACGTCGAGATACTACCACCGTCTACTCCTACGGCTCTCGTACCACAGCACACGGGCCAATCGGGCCGGCCGCCATCGACTTACTCCAACAGCGGCTCATCCATCGCGGCATCGACGAAGAAGAAGGGACCTGCAGTGGCACCAAGACGTGGAGCCAAGAAGCTGCAGTATGTTGAGGCGCTGTACGATTATCAGGCTGGTAGCGACACGGAGCATAGCATGGCTGTGGGCGAGAGATTCGTTCTGATCAAGGAGGACCAAGGAGACGGGTGGGCAGAGGTCGAGAAGGGAGGAGTGACAAAGAGTGTCCCTGCGAACTACGTCCAGGTTGTCTAGTATACCTCTCGATGCGCTTCCCAGGGCTCAAGACAGGTTCGTTTCGACACTGGATTGACCTCGGCGATGCGATGCGATAGCTCACCGGTCTGGCTGTGAAGATTGGATTCGCTTATCACCCAATGGATACGGGAAAACCTTCAATTACATTCGTCAGGCACTTGAGAAGATCTCTCGGGCCCTTATTTGTACATCACCTTTCAACTGCGACGTTGGTATAGGAGTGTTCTTGTTGATTGGCAGTCAGCTTGGTTCTCCCTTTTTCGCCCTTCTCGTTACCCCTTTTTTGTTGTTTGGGGTACCCCTGCCAAGAGCACGGGTTCCTGAAACGATATGACGTAGCTCGTGCATGGACGTCTTCCAATTCCTCTCCGGTGTTCCTCGTCGACAAGCCACTTTCACTCCAAAAAAAAAAAGCTTCAAGCTTGTGCATTGTCGTGAGTTCAAGCTTTCTTTGCCAAGGGCGCCAGTGTTTCGGGTACCAGATCCGCTCTTGGGAGCTTGTTCATCCCAGCTTACACTACATTCGCCTCTTATTACGAGCCAGACACTTTTGGAGACTCGACTTCCCGGAGTGAAGGTCCAGCAGAACTCCACCATTTTTGTTTACCCACGGGATGTTAAAACGGAATCCATACAGCAAACGGAACGAAGAATGCGGCAAGACAGATGTGTGCCAGGGAATCTCTGTCATTCTTGCGAATTGGATTTTAGCGCTTTGGTAAGCCACTCTCGTCCAACATGCCCCAGAGACGACATGGTTTTGTTGGGAGTGCTCGAGTTATCCACGTCAGTTCTATAATTATTCCACACTCCTACCATATGTAGTGTACGACGCTGAATGGCTTGCATATCGAATGAAACTCGTTATACACCTCGTGAGCGAGACAAATGCTCCAGATATCTCGGTGCAGCACGGAAGATCACTTCTCGATGCGTGGATGTTGATCTCGAGAGATTTGCAGGAGAGAGTTGCACAGCCTTCCACCTTGAGGCAACACTAAATCTGATGTTCTGCGCTGGCAGTGGAAAAACATGAAACAGACACAGGTAAATCTTGAACATCCCGTCAATCTGTTTCCCTCCGGAGGAATGACCGGGACTCTTCCAAATCTGCAAACCTTGAACCATGGGCCATTATGCGTCCAAAATGTCCAATGCCAGGTACCGATACCGTCTGATCACCACTACAACTCCACCAGGACACTCTCCGGTCATTCTTGTGAAGGGACACGGGAAGGGATGAACAATGCGCTTGCCAACCTAACAAACTGAATGGCTGGCAATCGACCTCCTGATTTCTTGTGGTGACACGGCCTGCTTTTTATGTGCTCCTCTCCCCCTCCTTCGTCTCATTCCAGTTGCCCTTTCCTCCAAGAGCACTTTCCACTCTCAACAACATTTCCGTGCTTGAAACGGTTTCCCCTCGTTACACAGGCTGTTTGCCCAATTCCCTCGTTCGTCTTTGATCGCACACGCATCAAGACTATTCCATTCTGATTATTTACCGCTTCTTCACTTTGTGTTGTTGCTTTAATCATTCGATATCTAGCCCATTTTGGACTTTCTTGCTGTGCCTTCTTCCCAACAGCAGTAACGCCCCACCCCGCCTTCATACCTACATTTCGCAGACCGATAACTGTTATTGACTCACAATCTATTCGCCTACACATCACATACTCGACAAAGTATTTGCGGCGCCAAAATGAAGTCTATCAGTTTGATGTTGGCGTTGGCCTCCATCGCCAGCCTCAGTGCAGCGACCCCAACGCCAACCGAGCAGCAGCAGCCGAACAAGAGGGCTGACCTCCCTGCTGTCACAGTCTCCGGAAATGGTGAGCGGTTCTGCCTTTGGAAGATGTGGCGTTCACATCAGCGGGAATACTAACGCCTTCGTGTATAGCCTTCTGGAAGGGCAAGGAGCGCTTCTATATCAGAGGAATCGATTACCAGCCCGGAGGATCGTCCGGCATGATAGATCCCCTAGCCGATACCGACATGTGCAAGCGCGACGTTGCCGAATTCAAGAAGCTGGGAGTCAACACTATTCGTGTCTACATGGTGGACAACTCCAAGAAGCACGACGAGTGCATGAAGCTCTTGGCCGATGCTGGGATCTATGTCGTTATCGACGCGAACAGTCCCCTTTACTCGCTCAACCGCTTCGACCCCCACCAGTCGTACAATGACAAGTACCTCCAGAGCGTTTTCGCCACGATCGACGCTTTTGCCGAGTACGACAATACCCTTGCCTTCTTCTCGGGCAACGAGGTCATCAACGATGTGGTCAACAGCACTCTGGCAGCCAAATATGTCAAGGCCACCACTCGTGATATGCGCCAGTATATCGGCAACCGTGGTTACAGGAAGATTCCTGTTGGATACTCGGCTGCCGATGTCTCCCAGAACCGCATGCAGCTCGCCAACTACATGAACTGCGGAACTGATGACGAGAGAAGCGACTTCTTCGCCTTTGTAAGTTTTCCTGTTGGCCCAATGTGCAGGTCGGAGCCTAACCGTGAGATACAGAACGATTATTCCTGGTGCAGCTCGAACTTTGAGGACGCCGGCTGGGACCAGAAGGTGAAGAACTTCACTGGTTACGGCCTTCCCATTTTGTAAGCCTACCCCTCTCTCCGAGAAACTTGCAAAGCCAGCATAATCTGACTCTTCTCAACAGCCTTTCTGAATATGGTTGCATCACGAACACCCGCGACTTTGGCGAGATGGAGGCTCTCATGAGCGATAAGATGACTGGCGTCTACTCGGGAGGTCTCATGTACGAGTACGCCTTGGAGGAGAACGGATACGGGATTGCCAAGCTCGGACCTGGAAGCAAGGTTGAGGAGAAGCCCGAATTCGCCAACTTCGCAAAGGCCATGAGCAAGTATCCGGCGCCTACTGGTGATGGCGGCTTCAGCAAGACTACCAAGGCCGCTGCCTGCCCTACCAAGGACTCCAACTGGCTGGTTGACTCTACCAAGCTGCCTGCTATGCCCGAGGGTGCCAAGAAGTTCATGAAGGACGGCGCTGGCACTGGCCCCGGTCTCAAGGGCGAGGGCTCTCAGCAGGCCCAGGGCACTAGCACTGGCGATGCGGAACCGGGCTCTGGATCTTCTACCAACACTGCTTCTCCTTCCAGCAGCGAGAGCGATAGTGCCGCAGGCACCCGCAGTATCGGTCCCGTTGACAAAGCTCCTTTCGTTGTCACCGCACTGGCCATGCTCTTCACCTTCACCGGTGCCCTTCTTGTCTAAGGAAGTGGTGTAGTTTGAAGTTTGCCAAATCTACTGGCCCATGATGATGCTCAGAAGAGCTATCGGCGAGTTGCATTGCGGAATACCATGTACAATATAGAATAATGTCTTTTGTCTCTTGAACCCTCGTTTTAGAAACGTGACAACTGTGACCCACCATGGTATTTTCGAATGGGGGTTTACATTGCAAACCACCTACATGTAGAACATTGCGAAGAACAGATCGCACTAGCATACTTTTCTTTGAGCAGTCTCACTTGTGATGAGTTGAGCCAAACTAGTGACTGGCAACATACTTCCATGTAGTGGTGACTGAGACCACTTCATTTTTTGCTTGGAAGAAGGGGTTTTAACTTGTGTGTATATGTTACGTTCTCATCTATATCCAAGTTTCATTCACCTTCTATGGTAACAGCCCGGAGTTCCCATTCACCTTCAACCCTTTTTTAGCCCCTATCAACAGTCTTACTCATCCATCACCCATCATCCCCCATCCTCCCTCTTCTTCTTCCTCCTCCTTCTCGTAACGCTCAACACTCAAGGCCAGTCACAGCTCTTCCCCACCAAATCCGCCAACTTCTCCAACCACACCTTATCGACCTCATCAAACCCGTTCAGCTCCGCGCAATCCACGTCAATGATGGCCACCACCTTGTCGTCCACGACGATGGGGACAACAATCTCGCTCTTGCTGTCACCGTCGCAGGCGATGTGGCCGGGGAAGGCGTCAACGTCGGGAACGAGCTGGGTGGTCTTGGTCGAAGCGGCGGCGCCGCATACGCCCCGGCCAAAGGCGATGGTTTGGCAGGCTACCTTGCCTTGGAAGGGGCCGAGGATGAGTTCGGTGGTGGAGGAGTGGTTGAGGGTGTAGAAACCTGTGGATACTAGTTAGCTGGGGTTTGGAAGGGAGGAGTAAGCAGTAAGTGGTGTGGAGTGTGGCGAGGAGATGGGATGGAACGGGATCTACACAGTAGGGGGAAAGAATAGGTGGGTGGCTTGTTGGGAAGAGGCGTAGAACTATTCAGGTCGGATAAGGGGAAAGTTATAGAGTGAAACGGGAAATGTTGAAGGGGCTTATAATTTGAAATGGAGAGAAGCAAGTTCTTAATCACAGATGAAGATAAGTACTCACCAGCCCAGTTGACCTGGTTGCTCGGAGCAGGAAGTGACTTGAAGGCGTGCCAGAGAAGGGCAGCGCAGTTGGACAAGTTGCTGTTTGAACATGAAGTTGCGTTAGTAATTGGTCATCTCTTGTACTTCTGCTATGCTAATTGCAAAGGATGCTTTGAGCAAGGGTTGTGGGGTACACGGAGGAGCTAAAGTTGACTTACCAAACCTAATGTATGTGAATGATTCAGGTCACCTTGTTAGACAATGTTTCTTTTTGATATTGTTTGTGCGCAAAATGGCTTGGTTTATCATCATACCCAGTTTCTCTGCTCATAGAAGAGACCTTCAGCCTGGTCGAGAACCTGCTGGTAGGCCTCTTCCTTGGTGAAGTTGGCAGCAAAGTTGGAAGCGTCGGCGTGGACCTACGCATGTACCATTGAGAATGGATTAGTCTAAGCGGATTCTGAAGTTGCAGTAGCTAGTAGCTAAGATGTGTGATGGGGAGACAACCGTTTGAGAACATCATGATTAAATAGCTAGGAACTGCTCACGAACCATTTTGACTTGATATTATGACCTGTTTTGCCTATGTACAAATCGTGGAATTCGAGTATTGAAGAGTGACGGTGTTGGACCACGAAGAAACCGACCTTGAACTTTTTGAGATTTGTCATTCTTTCATTTCCGAATCTGGGGAAGTGGGGCCGGATGGCGCTGACGTGCTCCGGACCCCGGTCCGTGCGGGACCACCGCTGTACCGGCAGCCGATGGGCCGTTCCGAATGGCCCCCGGTGGATTCACGGATTTTGCTCCGCACCAGCACCGGATTGATTCACTAGTCCGGTAAACCGCGAGAGATTGGAGAGAATGATGTGAAAACACGGGTGACCGCTCTTCGTACTTCATCAAGTAGAAAGCTTCAGTTCAAGACCTTCCTCACTATTCTATGCAGACGGACCGCGGATCTCCTACCAGAGTGGCCTCGCTGGTCCTGATATGTCGTTTGAGGTAAACCGAGCCATGATTCAGAGAGATTCCCAACTGGTCCCTGATAAAGTACGAAGACATTATGCAGTATAGCAGTGTGAGCCATCGTCGAGTCATCGCTGAGTGATGCAGTGGTTGGTTCGATGGACATGGTTCGTCATTTCCACGACTCATTGAAGCAACCAGTCGGCCGTTCACAGTTCCATTTCATTCGTTGGAGATATCTTCTGATATTCAGCCTTATGCCGCAATCTAGGAATATGTTACTCCACCAAGGAAGATATGTGTCTTCAGAATAATCCTCTCGTTGCGTTTCCGCCTTTGGCGTCGAGAACATTGCTGTTTTAGGGTTATTACATGGTCCCGTCGCTCGTCTCTGCGTCGTATCCATGCTTGAAAATGGTATCGTCCTCGCTATGTCGCATTTGCCTCCGCCACTCGCTTATCAAGTATTTCGGTGCATTCCTATGAATAGCCCATCATTTGGACTTCATGTTGAAGTAAAGTGAAAGGTAAGAGGTCTGATTGATGGTTGAATAAGGAATGGAAGAAGTTCGGAGGGGTCCCTGAGATGGGAGCTTCGCTTGCCAAGACTTTAATCGCACCTGTCGAGCCCCACCCATCCGTTTCCCGGCGCCCAGTCCCACCCGTCCCTCTTTCTGCATGCACCTACTTGGTACAGGACTGGGAGAGGTATGTACATGTTCAACCTGGAAACATCAGGATGGCAATCAGTTGGAAGTCACAACGACTCCCCTTTCACTTCTCTATTCGATCCCATAGTTCATTCATCTGGGTTATCTTACACCCTCCTCCCGTATTTATTACAGCCAGGCCTTCAAATCCGCCACCTGATACCATACAGCTCTTACGAATACAATCATTGCCGTGGCAACCAGCGGATTAATAGCTGCCTGAGGCATAACAGAAAACCTCTTAGGCATCCCAACGCGAAGACAGTGGACAGGGGCGCCAAGAGCTGTGGCCCGTGACGTGAGCGACGCGCGACACGGGAATTTTTGTGTCTTGGCCTGGGACTGGACCCCGGCTGGCAAGCACTGTAGCAGTGCCGCTGGAGAGGTGTGGTAGCCTTGTTCATCTTGAAGGGTGTCCGCCGCCACCGTCACCGAGCACGCAGCCCCTCGCAAAAAAGCACAACTTCGCCCAAACACAAACCTCTGCTGTTTTGATTGTTTCTGCCATCTTCAATCGCGCGCCGCTGTGCCGTCGCTCATCATGGCAGACATCAAAATCGACAGCAAGGTCTTCCAGGAGCGCGTCTCGCACTTCTACAATGCCTGGAAGGCCGACAAGCGCTCTGGAGATGCCCTCTTCGGGGGCGTCTCCTCCATCGTCGTTCTGATGGGCAAGGTCGACGAGAACCCCGAGTTTCACAAGAACAACGCTATGCATGTGAGTTGTGCCCACTTGGAGAGTTTCCGTTTGGCGCGCTGTGGCTGTGCGTCCGGTGCGCCATCCTAGTCAAAAGACAGCTGCTGATAGCTCCTACGTACAGTTCTGGCTGCTAGGTTACGAGTTCCCGACGACCCTCATGCTGTTTACCCTCGACACCATCTACATTCTCACCACCCAAAAGAAAGGTTCACTTGATCCTCCCGACCCGACCACACCGATAAAACATCTGACACTTTAATAGCCAAGTACCTCGACCAAGTGAAGGGCGGTAGGTACCCGGTTGAGGTCCTCGTGCGAGGCAAAGATGCCGCCGAGAACGAGAAGCTTTTCGTCAAGATCACGGATGCCATCAAGGCCGCGGGCGTAAGTTACATCATGCTCTGGACGCAAATCAAGTTCTTGGCGCAGTTCTAACAAACTCTCCCCTCGCTACAGAAGAAGGTTGGCGTCCTTACCAAGGACACCTCCAAGGGCCCCTTTATCGACGAATGGAAGAAGGTCTACGCCGATAACTGCGAGGATGTGGAGGAGGTTGATATTGCCCAGGCTCTGTCTGCAGGCGCTTTCTCCGTCAAGGATGAGACCGAGCTTCGCGCCATGCGCACCTCGTCCAAGGCTTGCGTTGCCCTCCTGACCCCTTACTTCCTCGACGAAATGTCCAATATCCTCGACCAAGACAAGAAGATCAAACACAGCGCGCTAGCCGATAAGGTCTTCAACAAACTGGAAGACGACAAGTTCTGGAAGACTGTCGAGCTGCCCAACCGACAAAAGCTCCCGGCTGACCTTGATCCCGAACAGTTGGACTGGATCCTTGGTCCTATCGTGCAAAGTGGTGGCAAATTTGATCTGAAGTGGCAGGCTGATTCGGACAATGATGTTCTCCACCCGGGAATTATCATTGCGGCCATGGGCCTCAGATACAAGTCCTACTGTTCCCAGATTGCCAGAACATTCATGGTCGACCCCAACAAGTCCCAAGAAAGCAACTACAAGTTCCTACTTGCTGTCCACAACCTTATTCTCAAGGAGATTCGGGATGGTGCCACTATCAAGGACGTGTACAACAAGGCCTACAGCTTTGTGCGGTCCAAGAAGCCCGACCTTGAGAAGCACTTCCTCAAGAATGTCGGCTTTGGCATCGGCCTCGAGAACAAGGATCCGACTTTGATTCTTAACAGCAAGAACACCCGGACACTCAAGGATGGCATGACGCTGGTTGTCACCACCGGTTTCAGTGATATCCAGAACCCCAACCCCCAGGATAAGAACAGCAAGGTTTACTCCTTGATCCTTACGGATACGATCCGTGTCACAAGCTCCGAGCCGGTGGTGTTCACTGGTGAAGCGCCTGTTGATGTTGACGCGACCTCGTTCTTCTTTAAAGACGAGGAAGAAGCGCAGCCCACTCCAAAGAAGGAGAAACGGGACTCTAGGGTGGGTGCTGTTGCAACTAAGAACATCACCAGCACTCGTCTGCGCTCTGAGCGTAACACCACGGTAGACGAGGACGCGGACAAGAGACGCCGTGAGCATCAGAAGCAACTTGCGCAGAAAAAGCAGAAGGAGGGTTTGGCTAAGTATGCCGAGTCCACCGCCGATGAGAACGGTGTCGAAGTCAAGAAGTTCAAGCGCTTTGAATCTTACAAGCGGGATAACCAGTTCCCGCCCAAGGTCAAGGATATGGGCATCGTCATTGACCAAAAGAACGCGACCATAGTCCTGCCTGTCATGGGCAGGCCCGTACCTTTCCACATCAACACCATCAAGAACGCAAGCAAGAGCGACGAGGGCGAGTGGTCGTTCTTAAGAATCAACTTCTTGTCTCCTGGCCAGGGTGTGGGTCGAAAGGATGAGCAGCCCTTCGAAGACGCATCTGCGCACTTCGTCAGGAGCTTGACCTTCAAATCAACTGATGGCGACAGGTATACCGACATTGCAAACCAAATCGCGAACCTCAAACGAGACGCTGTCAAGAAGGAACAGGAAAAGAAGGATATGGAGGATGTAGTTGAGCAGGACAAGCTCGTTGAAATCAGAAGTAAGTGGCTTACCTGGAGCAATCATCATTAAAACATACTGACCAAATTTTAGACCGTCGGCCCGCCGTATTGGATAATGTCTTCATCCGGCCGGCCATGGAGGGCAAGCGTGTGCCTGGCAAGGTGGAGATTCACCAGAACGGTATTCGCTACCAGTCACCTCTCAGCACAACACAACGCGTGGATATCCTCTTCTCCAACGTTCGCCATCTCTTCTTCCAACCGTGCCAGCACGAGTTGATCGTGATCATCCACATCCACCTCAAGGATCCCATTATCATCGGAAACAAGAAGAAGACGAAGGATGTCCAATTTTACAGGGAAGCTACCGATATTCAGTTCGACGAGACCGGCAATAGGAAGCGCAAGTATCGTTACGGCGACGAGGACGAGTTCGAGGCCGAACAGGAGGAACGCCGGCGCCGCGCAGAGCTTGACCGCCTGTTTAAGTCGTTCGCGGAGAAGATCGCTGAGGCGGGCCGCAACGAGGGCATTGAGGTGGATATGCCACTCCGTGACCTTGGTTTCAACGGTGTGCCGTTCCGCAGTAACGTGTACATCCAGCCCACGACGGAGTGTCTCATCCAGATCACCGAACCACCATTTATGGTCATCACCCTGGAGGACATCGAAGTCGCCCATCTGGAACGCGTACAGTTCGGCCTCAAAAACTTCGATCTGGTGTTTGTCTTCAAAGACTTTACAAGGGCACCATACCACATCAACACCATACCGGTCGAGTCTTTGGAGGATGTGAAGGAGTTCCTCGACTCGTCCGATATCGCGTTCTCAGAGGGTCCACTCAACCTCAACTGGGGTGTCATCATGAAGACTGTCACTGCTAATACCCATCAGTTCTTCTTGGATGGCGGCTGGGGTTTTCTGCAGAACGACAGCGATGATGACGATGCCGAGGAGGAGGAAGAGGAGAGCGCCTTCGAGATTAGCGAGAGCGAGTTGGAGGACGCTTCCGAGTCCAGCGAAGAGGATTCGGAGTATGACTCCAACGCCTCGGAGGAGGCTAGTGACGAAGCCGAAGACAGCGAGGAAGAGGAGGGCGAGGATTGGGATGAGCTGGAGAGGAAGGCCAAGAAGCGTGACAGGGAGAGCGGCTTCGACGACGATGAGGAGCGTGCGGCACCCAAGAAGCGGAGAAAGTAGAGGACTGACTAGACCCGGTCTTCCTCTAATCCCTTCTCACGATATAACAAGGTTAATCAGTTGGCTTTTATTGCCTTGTGAGTTTGCTTATCATGGGAAAAAAGGGATACAAAATCGGGCTTGTGTACAAAGTTTAGCCTTTTCCTTTTTCCTCTTTTTCCTAGGTCGGCGTGGATTTGGTTTTTTTTTGCGCAAAGTCGTCTTTTTCAATGGGTAAATTTGGCTGGCGTGCAAATGGGAAATTATTGTTTGATACGGTAGTCGTATGAACAAAGCAGGTAGTAAGTACGGTGGTATAAACTACTTCTTTCACAACGAACTGGTATCTCATAGTTGATTACTTTCGCCTTCTTTTTTGACTCACGATTGGTTCTAGTACTCACTGAAAGAAGACATGGCAGTTTTAAGAATTGTGTAAATAGATAATGAGTCTCGGGTTCTCACGATATGTCTGTACTAAGAGGTAAAAAGAAAAAATCAAAAAAAAATACGAAAACTAGACCAAACCCAAAGACGCCGTTCAGTTATTGATATCCCAAAAAAGACTGTGAGCGCGTGCTGAACATCAAAACCCAGCGAAAGTGTTTAGAGTCAACAACAGGCAAAGCTCGAAAGGGTGGTTACGGCCGCGCCCACACGCAACGCTCACCCCCTCTCTCCTCTCTCTCTCGCCCCTCCCCCCTCCCTTCTCTTCTTTTGTCCCATTCTATCTCATGGCAAGTTTCGACCGGCAAGCCAGCCCCTGTCTTGACCTCATTGCGCCCGGGTAAGAATTTTCGGAACATCCATCCCTGCCGCCAATAATCCATCCATCCATCCATCTCACAGCATAATTAGGTCTATATTATATCTTCATTCATTGAGCTTTGTCTTATTTCATGGTGAAGTATCCGTGGTTATTTTGTTCATGTAGATCCAGCCTGCGCAGCCGAAGGCTGATTCCATGACAGATACGAGGGGTCGCCCAGCTTACGGGGCTTCCAGATGAAGAAGGACAAGACAAAGTAGACGTCAAGAATGAGGCAGATGCCGCCAACGATGAGGAATATTATCCCTGGCCAGATGTTGCGGGCGCCCATGGCGGTGATGGTGGTGAGGACGATGGACTTGTGGCCGTTGTAGACGGTGGTGTTGAAGTTGTCGACGATCTCGATCCGGTAGTTGCCCGCCTTCATGGCTTCGTGGTCGTTCTTGCGCACCAGCTTGTAGAAGTCCGGAGAGGCGGCCAGCATCATCCAGTTCTGGAAGTCGGCCCAGTTCTTGAGGTCAGGAAGCTTGGTGTCGTTCGTGTAGCCATTGGGCCAGGCTGCCTCCCAGTTGGGTGGGGGGACGATCTCGGAACGCGAGTACTTGGTCTCGCCGTAGAGATCCTTCAATCCTTCCCAACTGATATCACCAGCCTTGTTGGACATGACGTAGTCGGTAGAGTTTTGCTCGTTGTAGGGGTTGGAGAAGGTGTCGTTGAACATGGAGTTGGCCACCACGCCGCACGGGTAGATGACCTTTCCAGTTCCTCGGGGGTCGAGATCCAGTGGCTTGCAGGTCGAGCCGTCAATGACATCCTTGGATACGGCATCGCCCAAGAGTTGCTTGGCGTTGAACGAATTAACGTAGCGACGATGGTTCTGGTAGAAGTTGTTGAGGTGGTAGTAGAAGCTGACGGGCGCCGGGAGTTCCTCGGGAATAGGGAACGAGATAACGCAGATGTTTCTTGGGGCCGTGATACCGCTCCATTCGAAGGTTACGTTTCGCTCCTCAACATGCCATGTCGACATTTTCTTGGGGTCGAGGTTCGGGTGCGTCTCCAGGGCGGATGACGAGAAATGCGACTTGACATTATCGGGTGGAATAGCCGCCTTTATGTCACTTCCTCTGGGCGCATCTTTTAGACAGTCGGTGTAGTCAATACTGAGATCTCGAACCTAACAAGATGGGCGACATGGTCAGCGGCTGGCCGGACACTTTTTGCAAGAGGTGACAGGGGGCACAAAGGGAACCGGGGGAAAAGTACAGTAAAGGCGAGATATGTCAAGTAGGCGCCGAAGCCGAGATAGATGGCGGCAAGGACGGTGAAGATGGAGACGATAAGTTTCGGTGTAAGCACACATTGCCAGGCGCGCATTCGTTGCTGGCGGAAAGCAGTGTTGGGCGGACGGTTTTTAGGAGCATCTGTCTCTGATGAATTGCCGTCCTGGGAGCCATCGCGGCCGCCACGGCGACGGCGAGGTGCCATGATATCGCGTTATTCCAGTGACTGCTGTCGTCGCTAAGAGATCGACAAGAATGAAAGACCAGGAGATGGGCGATTGCGATGATGCAGGTGGAATTTCAAGCCGTTTCAAAGTTGATGATGCGACGGCGGCGCCAGGAACACAACTGCACAGGGAACAGTCTGAAGGCGGGCAATGGAATTGTCAACGGTGCGGTCGACAGTCGGGCGCTACAAGGACGGGACGGGCAGTCCACTGCACCCCGTCGCTGCAAGTCCATGCTCGAGAGTGGAGGGCAGTGGCAGTGGAACGCAAGACGCGGACCCTTCGGCCTTCTGGGGCGCTCCAGCAATGCGAGATGTCCGTGCCTTCGTCTTGGCAGGGAGGCTGTGATGTTTCCAATCGTGAGTGGGGCACTTTCGTTCTGAAATCCGACCTCCGACTTCAGTTCCACAATCTGAACAGTCTCACGGGATGCCTCACGTGAGCGAAAGCATGTCCTGGCGCTAAGGCAGTAAACGCACGAGCCATTCTCCGCAGCCCCGCACGTCAATCGTCATTTGTTAAAGAGGTTGCTGCTTCGGGAGACAACACTCTGTGAGTGAGCAATTCAACTTCCAGATGAGGTGTCACAGAGTGAGCCGCCAACCTCTATATGTACCACCAACCTCCTTGTTTCACTTTTCTCTCACCGTTCCTGTCCTGCTACTCCAGATTCACCATCCAATTCAAAATCCGTCATCTCAACGACATTGTGTCTTGTGTGTGTACTGCTGGGCTGCCGGGTAGTATCTCGGCCTTTTGCATATCAGTATCTTGATTGCAACATGTTCCATGTCTCATCCGCTCCACTTGGTCTGACGGGGACCGGTCAACCGGACACTACGCTGTATGTACGCCAAAGAGGACGCAAACACTCCGCAAGCATCTCACCCAAATTCCCTCGTGACACTTCTTTTCTGTTAGGCGTGAAAAGACTTGTCTCTTCTTTCAGGTTTCGTAGAACGAAGTGTTGAGACAAAAGTTGAACGGCAGTCGAACGGCATCGAGATCATCATTGGGGATAAGAAACTAACAAGCAACGCCAAGTCTTCGGGGACGGTTGCCACCCGCAAAAAGAAGCGGTTTCTACTTCTCTGGCTCGCAAAACGTTACGAAATGGGTGCCGAGATCTGCAAGAGAAGCCGAAGAAGAAGGACAGCATCAGACTCACACGTCAGACACCCGACGGGGGCCAGACGGGGTCAATGAGGTTACAGCCAACCACATGTGCAACCCCGGCGACAGAACATCTGAATGGCAGGCAATGCGGGCAAACTGGCACCCGAGAAGAGAGCTGGCGCACACGAGGCAGACAATTGGACAGACCACGCAGGGACGCAGGAAGAAGCAAGGGAAGAAGAGGGGGAGAGCCGCATGAGGGCTCGTGCTTGTTTTCTAGAAGGATTCGACAGACTTGAGTGTGTGATCGTGCTTAGCGGAACCTGTGGAGAAGCAGCAAGGAGCCCAAGAGGGTGGGCCTTGCTCCCACCAGGGAACGGAGGAGGGGATTGCCTTTCAACTGATCCAGTCGCCTCGAATTTGCTGATAGTTCAGTCACTGACTGACGTGGCTCAAAGTGTCGAAAAGGTGGAAGGATGATAGATGAAAGTAATTGCGTGAAAGATTGGAATGAGGAGGGTGAGAAATTGGCATTCGTACCTCTTAAGTCACATCAAATGCCGGCTGCTGAATCAGAGGTAGATTGGTTCTGGAAGGATTACAGAAGCCTTCTGTGACACGGCCCTACCTCAACGGCCAAGCTGTGAGGCGATGGCCGGGAAGGGAAATCGCAGAGAACCCTGCACGCCAGCACGGCAACGGTCAACCGCCAGAGCACCTTCACGACCCAGAACCCCTAGATAGGTAACGAGCGCACTGTAGGGCGGGAACGGCATCACCCACCCCACCCGCCCGCCAAAACCTAAAGCTTCACCTCCTCCACAATCACTCCCCTCCATGCCAGCTCTCCTGCTCTCTGTGCTTCCCGCGCTTCTACTCTCGCCCTTTTTATAACAAAGACAGTCAGAACGCAAGACTCCATTGTCTCATTTCCATTGCCGTGGCCGTCTTGTGGTTGAGCCTTGTTGCCATTTCCATTCCCTTTCCCGCCATTGCCATCATTTCCACCTCCACCCACACAGCTCCCCGTCGCCTGCTTCGTTCGGCCACCACGCCTCGCCACAGCTGCCTTGCTTCTATCTTGCGTCGCTAACAAGGCAACTCCACTGCAAAGCGAGATCGCAACCGCAACCGCAATTCCACTCGGACACCAGAACTTCTTCGGTCAACAACTTCTGCGGCCTTTGCCGAACCGTCTTGTCTTTCGGCCTTTCTTCCTTGTCCACACAACGCAGCCTGCTCTCTTCTCTGCTTTCCGGGCAGCTACGTATAAAGCATCTTCCAAGGCTACGAGATTGTCAAAGCGCTCCCTTGCCATCGCCCATTCGGCAATCCCGCTCGTCTTTCATCATTCCCGCCCTCGTCCTCTGAAACCTATCCATCCATCTCCGGCCTTCGCGACCACCGCAAGACTCTTGTTGTCTACCTCTCGAATACCACCTATCCTACTCCAGCTCACGGTGATCCCTAGGTAAGTTCCCTAATCTCTTCAGCCATGTCTCATCCTGTTTGCTCTGATCAACATTGGCCTTGTGTCATCGAGCATCTTGTACCTGTGCGTTCCGTCGCATAGGTTCGTGGCCAAACAGATCACATGGAGTGTGGACTACTGTCATCCCAAGACCGATCTCTTGTCTGCGCCATGTCAGTCTGTCAATTTCGCAATCTCCCGTCCGGCAATTCCACTTTGATCCGATGTCAAAGATCTATACGGGTGATCTGTACTTGTTCTTTCGGTAATCAGGTGCTAATTTTGTAAAGTGCTCCCAGGCGCCAGAGATCTACCTTACAACGCCCCCGTGTTTAATTACAGACACTCCAATCCCTTTTCGCCCTCCGATCTCCATCCGACTTTTGCTCGCGAATTATAAAATAAAGTTCGGATACAGAACACCTTTGGATCCCTTTCCCCAGTCTCAGTAGGTAGTGTCCGGTCCTGGCTACACCCATTCGTATACTTGATTCAAACGTTTGTCTGATTCAAGACAACAGCTCCCAATTCAGCTCAGCACACCTTACGAAACTTATCTGTTGGGATCAACGTCACCATAATGTCGAGCACAGGTTTCACTAGCCCTTTCGGGAACGCAAACCCGTTTGGCGGCTCAGGCAGAACTGAGCCTGGCCCGATGCACAGGCTAGTTGAGGAAGACGAAAACGACACCATCACTTCGCCTACGACCCCCAACTTCGGCGTCAAGAACGATGCTGCGCCCCCTTTCTGGAACGGCTTTGGTGGTGATGCTCCATCGGACGTGCCCGTGAGGCGCCAACCTGACGACTTCCCTGCTCATTACAACTTGGGTCGCCGGACTTCCGTTTCCGCAGAGTCTCTGAAACCAGTTACGGATAACTCCGATAACTGGTCACCCCCTGTTCACCAGAAGACACCAGATCAGCTTGAGCGTTTGAAGAAAGCCATCGGCGGCAATTTTCTTTTCAGTCATCTCGAAGACGACCAGAGTGCCCAGGTTTTGGGTGCCTTGGTAGAGAAACCCGTGCCTGCTAAAGGAATCAAGGTTAGTACTTGAAGCACTGGTTGTCTCTCTATCTCGAGGTTTATGACCTTTCTAACCGTCATGTAGGTGATTAGTCAAGGTGACGCTGGTGATTACTTCTATGTGGTAGAGAAAGGAAGTTTCGAAGTTTATGTCAACAGCACTGGCTCTCTCCAACCCGGTCCGGACGGTATGGGACAGAAGGTTGGCGAGATCGCGGAGGGTGGCTCTTTTGGTGAGCTTGCTCTCATGTACAACGCACCCCGTGCTGCCACTGTCGTCTCTGCTGAGGCTCAGTGCACACTATGGGCGCTTGATCGCGTTACTTTCCGACGAATCCTCATGGAGTCGACCTTCTCTCGTCGTCGGATGTACGAGAGCTTTCTCGAAGAGGTGCCCATCCTCAAGACCCTTACGCCATATGAGCGGTCCAAGATTGCGGATGCTCTCGAGAGCCAAAAGTACCCGGCTGGCCATGAGATCATCCGTGAGGGTGACCCGGGCCACTCCTTCTTCCTGTTGGAGGCTGGCGAGGCGGCAGCGTTCAAGCGAGGAAACGATTCTCCAGTTAAGTACTACAAGAAGGGCGATTTCTTCGGTGAGCTTGCGCTGCTGAACGATGCCCCCCGTGCGGCCAGCGTCATTAGCCAGTCTGAGGTCAAGGTTGCCAGGCTTGGCAAGAATGCTTTCCAGAGATTGCTTGGTCCGATCGAAAGCATTTTGCGGAGGACCAGGTATGTTGAAGTGGAAGAGGTGGATCCTTTACAGATGTCTTGAGAGGAACCAAAGTGCGAATTGTAGTGTTATAGACTAAAACGGCTTTCTTCATTACTGTTGGGTATGGACCGTTCTTGGCCTGGGTTTGAGGTTCAAGACTTGGAGACAAGAAAGTAGTTAGTAGTTGTTGTTATGTTAGCTTTATTGCTGTCAGGAAAGGCGTCTACCTAGGTTTTAGTACAAAATGCACTGATATTATTCATTGCCATTGAAGCCCCATTTGTTCCAGAATTGTGAACTATTGGCTTTCATGCCTCATGCTAACCGATGATCTCCCCACATCATTCAGTTTTATCACACCATCCGCTCTTTCGGCGTTGCTTCTCCCATTACCCTCGTATCTATTAGGGGTAGAGTATTGTGCAAGTAACCTAGCAGCTCATTCATTCGTCCCTGTTCAAACATCTTCGTCGCTCTTTTTTGTGACATGCTCTCCTCTGATGCAGATTGATGCTTCCCTGACCCTTCTTCTTCCCGGTATGTTTATACAGCGAAACAACATGTATCATGCCTGTAAACCCAAAATCAAAACAAATGCAGTCTTCCTTTTCGAATACCAACCCTACTCTATCCCCCTCCTAACCTCCAAAACCTGCCTCCTCAACCCCTCCACAGCCGCTTCCGTCTCCAAAACCCTCCCCACGCCCTTCTTCCACGTATCCTCCAGCCCCAGAATCTCCGGCCCGGCCTCGTCCTGCGCCTGCTTCCGCTGCAGCGTCACAAGATCAATCTCCCTCTTCGCGTCCGCCAGCTCCTTTTCGATGGCCTTCAACTCCCCCTCCAGCTGCCAATTACCAATCAGCCACGCGTTCTTGCCGTACGTGTCCAGCAACGCCAAGTGCGCCCGTCGCGAAGCGACGTAGGTGTGATCCGTGTAGGCCTTTTCGAGGAGGGACTGCAAAAGGGTGGTGGCTTCGGAGGAGTCCATCTGGGAGAGGTCCGCGGGCGAAGGGATCTCGGGGATGGAGGAGTAGCGGGTTAGATCGAGAGCGTTGAGCTTTGGTGGTGGCGCGTCGGGGTTCGAGGAGAGGGAGGAGGCGATGCGCTCGAATTCGGATTGGATGAGGGGGGTGAGGTGCGAAGAGGGCGTGTAGGGAGGAGGGAGAAGCGCGTGGTAGGGGTCGTCGGGGACGAGAGAGCGTTCGGCGGTTATGAGGGCTTCGGCGGCGAGACGGTCGGCGGGGGTGGGTTCGGGGTCGATGTCTGTTGAGCAAAGGGGGTTAGGTTAGTTGAGTTTATGGGAGGAAAGTAGGGAGGTGGTTGAAGGGGGAAGAAGAGGGTTGAAAGGTAGGAGAATTGGGAAGAGGCGGACGTACATGGGAGGGATTCGTGGATCGTGGTTATTAGTGGCATTTTGGCGGTTTTGTGATGCGACTTTTGTTGCTGTCTTTTGGGAGCGAAGTGGTGATGGTTTTGATGTGCTGTCTTTCTGGTGGTCGTCTCCTTGGTCGTGAGAGTTCGACTCAAGATAAAACCAAGTTCCGTAAGGGATTTTGATGATCGTGGGCACAGCTATGCTTTTGTGATATGGTGTTCTGGCGTTGCGGTGCAATTGACGATTTGTGATGTGATACGATGTGTTTGCGATGCGATGCGATAACGCGAATGTGGCAGTCGCGATAACACGGAAAATCGTTCCCCACATCCGGAGTCGGGCTGAAAGGCGGCAGCTGCATCACCGTGCGCAATGACCCTGATCAACGGTGCTTTGGCGGTGAGTTTCCCTGGCGTTTTAGCGCTGTTTGTTAGCAGCACGGTGTGGTATCCGCTTCAGCAAGAGCATACATCCGCTGGTGGGGCCTATGACGACACAGCTGCTTTGGCGCCAAGCCAACCTTGTTGGCCGGTGAGCCCGGCAGGCATTGTTTACTGTAAATCATTCCCGAGCTATCCAGAATGCTTGTTCGTCGATGCCTGTTTTTCGGCTGTTTCCTCACTAGATAAGTGCTTATCTCACGTTCAACACTTGAGAGAATAAAAGTCGGACGCGGAACATCATCTGTTTTGTTTATATTTCTTGCTTATGATATTCTTATTTGAAATTCGCTGCTTTGCCGTTGACTGATCCTCCACCGATGCGATGGCACCCCAAGTCGGTGATCCCCAGTTCGAGCCTCTAGCTGCTGATCAGGAAAAGGCACAGACATTCGAAAAGGACCGGAATATCGATACCACGAAAGCCCCTCTTCGAGTTCGCTTCGCAGAAAATCCAGATTTGCAAAGACCTTCACGGTGTCCAACATCAAGGGCAGCATCCCTCTTCGTTGGAAACGTCTTGATACTTTTCTCCGTCGTTATTGCGTTGGTCCTGGTCGCTGCGCAGTTCGATCGCTTATCATGGGACTATTGGCGCTCAGATATCTTCAATCCAGGAACCAATGTGTCAACATGCGCTACCGACACCCAATACTTGCTAGGTGTAGGCAAAGGTGACATTACCGGTCCTGTGGTCGAGATCAACCTCATGGGCTATGCCGATCCAATGCAACTGGGCACCGGTCTTCGTCAACGACTTTACTCCCGAGCCTTCATTATTGGAGATATCGAACGTCCGCAAGACCGGTTCGTTTATCTGGTCCTCGATACGCAGTCTGGCGATACAGCAGTCCGATATGGTATTATCAAAGCCTTGAAAGAACTAGGTCCCGAATATGCCGTTTATGGCCACCACAACATCGCCGTGACAGGCACACATTCCCACGCCGGGCCCGGAGGATGGCTAAACTACCTACTGCCACAGCTCACGAGCAAAGGTTTCGATCGCCAGGGATACCAAGCCATTGTGGACGGCGCCATCTTATCCATTCGAAAGGCCCACGAGAGCCTACAACCGGGATACCTTAGCGCGAGTACAACCAAAGTCTTTGGAGCAAACATCAACCGCAGCTTGTTCTCTTACCTCGCAAATCCCGAAGCCGAACGCATGAAATATTACCAGAGCGAAGAAGAAGACGGCTCGGTGGAGAAGGATCTTACCCTGCTGAAGTTCCAGAGGGCATTGGACGGAAAGAACATCGGTGTTCTCACATGGTTTCCTGTTCACGGAACCTCCATGCTTGGCAACAACACTGTAGTGACTGGAGACAATAAGGGAGTCGCGGCTTGGCTGTTTGAGAAGAGCGTTCGTGGAGACTCGTCAGCAGCCGAGGACTTTGTGGCCGGCTTCTCCCAGGCTAACATGGGCGACGTCAGCCCCAATGTGCTTGGGGCCTGGTGTGAGGATGACTCCGGTTCACAATGCAGCTTTAAGAACAGCACTTGCAGCAACGGCAAATCTCAGGCTTGCCACGGCAGAGGCCCGGAATTCATGGCTAACGACGATGGTGCCAGCTCCTGCTTCGAGATTGGAAGACGCCAATTCGAGCCAGCAAAACAGTTATATGACCACCTTATCAACAACCCGTCACCAATCAGAGGCCCGTGGGTCAAAGCCTTCCACACATTCCATGACATGTCCAACTTCACATTTGTTCTGCCCGATGGTAGACGCGCTCGCACTTGCCCAGCGGCGTTGGGATATTCCTTTGCCGCAGGGACGACTGATGGACCGGGCGGGTTTGACTTTATTCAGCATGACGGTAACGAGAACACGACAATGCCTATCTGGAAGGTTGTTCGGTATTTCATCAAGGCACCGGGCGAGGAACAGAAGGCTTGCCAACACCCCAAGCCTGTCCTTTTGGACGTAGGCGAGATCTTCCGGCCCTACGACTGGAGTCCCAACATCGTTGATGTACAAGCCTTCCGTGTTGGACAATTTGCCATCGTCGTTAGCCCAGGCGAAGTCACCACCATGGCTGGCCGTCGGTGGAAAGAGACCGTAGGCAAAAGCTTCAAGAAAATCCTCGATCAAGACATGGAACAGACCTACGGCTACACTGGCGGACCCTCGAGCGAGCCAATTGTCGTCTTGGGTGGTCCCGCAAACACTTACACGCACTATATCACGACCGAAGAGGAGTACCAGATCCAGCGTTACGAAGGTGCATCGACACTCTACGGACCCCATACACTCAACGCTTACATCAACGTGACGCTGTCATTCCTCCCGTACCTCTCTTCCGAATCGACTAGTCCACCGGTCCACGACGAGAAGTCAATGCCGCCTGACAACACGAACCGATCCCTGTCTTTCATCCCTGCGGTGATCCGTGACGCACCGCCGCTCTTCAAAAACTTTGGAGACGTTCTTGTAGACGTTGACTCGACGCAGGGGTATCACAGGGGAGACACGATCCGCGCGGTGTTCGTCGGTGCCAACCCCAGGAACAACCTCAGGCTGGAGGGGACGTACGCGGCAGTGGAGAAGTTGTTTGTCGACCAGGCGAACCCCCAAAAGTCTGAGTGGCGGACCGTCAGAGACGACCAAGATTGGAGCTTGATTTACAGCTGGAAGAGGAAGAACAGCGTCTTGGGAACGAGCGAGGTGGAGATTACGTGGGAGACTGGGGAAGAGACTGATGAGTGGTGGGATAAGGAACTGGGGCCGGGAGTGTATCGACTCAAGTACTATGGTGATAGCAAGAGCTTGTTTGGGGGGAAGATCCAGGAGTTTGAGGGTGTTAGCGGAGCGTTTACCTTGGTATGAGAGGACTGGGTTGGATGGTGATATAGCAAGGTGGTTTTCGTCAAGTGGTGTGCATGGAGACGGACGGCGTTTTGGGGGTACTTTTGACAAGCATTAGTTGGGATTGGGGTTTCGATATATCCATTTATACCTTAGTTTAGTGTTTGCTTTCGGTAGATCGTTCGATTTTACCAATGTTTTTCGCAATACACAACCATTTTAACGTTCCGTTGTCACTTCACGCTAAATTATGAATTTCACAAGGAAAGCAGTCGAGCCGATCGTACCATGACTTCCGGATTGGGAGACAAACACAGCTCCTTCTGCCTATACCCCGCCTTTGCTGCATGGGAATAGAAGTGACGCACGAAATCGGGGAAGGAGAAGTCCGCCTGGATCGAGCTTGGGTCCTTCCTGTCTCTGTCCCTTCGGCGTCCCGTCCTTGTCCACTTGCCCGGGGCCTTCAATCCTTACCATCACCTTTGCACTGCCCTGGAGAGTGGATTCCTGACCTTCTTTCAGTTCTTCATCAGACCTCCCTGCAACACTGCACACTCAGATGGATTGCGAGGCCCCTTTCAATTAAAAGAACGTTGAAGATCAATCCGCTTCTGGACCCTTGTCGAGTACGGCTTATACGGCCTCTGACGTCACTGCCCCTGACCGATAAGCTGATAAACTTGCATTTACACGCTCAACGCCAACCACATCACTCGCGTCTGTCTTTCGTCCCAAAATCCTACGGAACTACTTTATAAAGGCTATACCTATAAATCGCATCTGGTATTTGTATCCATACGCAGAATAAATTCTCTTGTCCCAAATCGAAACTATGGAAGCGCTCGAAGACATAAAGCGTCGCACGACCGGCATCCTCTCCTCGATATCGACGACTTTGACTTCCAAACACCAGGCGAATGATCACGGGGCTCACATGAGGGGCAGTTGGGAGAAGATAAAAGTCCCCGCCCTTCCCAGATCCTCCCATTCAATCGACATTGTCGCCGGAACAGCCTACCTCTTTGGCGGCGAGGCCGAGAATGCCCATCAGCCTACGGACAACGATATGCACGCTATTGTCCTTCCTTCGAGTAGTGCCCCGGCGGACTACTATGCCATCAAGGCGAAGTCGCCAAGGGCCACAGATACCTCGGACGAGAAGAACAAGTCCCCCGAAACCAACGAGTCGAGCGAGACTCCTGCCCCGCGTGTCGGTCACGTCACAGCTGTTATCGGCCACCGCATCTTCCTCTTCGGTGGACGCGGCGGTCCTGACATGACTCCCCTCGACGAAGCCGGCCGTATCTGGGTCTTCGACACCCGTACTCACTTCTGGTCTTACCTTGACCCCGTCTCCCCCGTCAGCGGAAAATCACCCGCTGTCCCTGAGCCACGCAGCTACCATTCGGCCGTGGCAACCGACAAGCCCCGCAACTTCAGCAAGACATCACCCACGAAGAAGAGCCACAGCCGACCTACCACCAGCTCTTCCACTAGTAATAATTTTGGAGGTGACATTGGCGAAGGCCTCATTAAGCGCACGAACACCATCCGTGACTGGGCCACGGGTGACCGCGACGTGGACGAAGTTGGCACCCCACAGCGTCCCATTGTCGGTAAGGTAGCTGAGCACGCTGTCGATGCCGACGTGGATGGCTATGGCACCTTTATTATCCACGGCGGTTGTCTGGCCGATGGCAAGAGAACCTCTGACCTGTGGGCCTTCGACATCCACTCACGCATCTGGCAACAATTGCCCGACGCCCCAGGCCCGGCCCGTGGTGGTGCTGCTCTTGCACTGAGCAGGAGCAGACTGTACCGCTTTGGCGGGTTCAATGGTGAGACCCAAGAGGGCGGGCAGCTGGATTATCTGGAGCTCGTGCTCGAGGAGTTCGACGACCAGGTCGGCAAGGGAGACGCCAGCATTTCGGTCAAGGATGGGTGGAAGAGCTTGTTGCAGGGTAGGGAGGACGTGGGATACAAGGAGCCCGATCCGGCGCCTGTTCCTACTGTTCTTGGTAGCCAAGACCCCGATGAGGATCAGTGGCCGGGGGCGAGAAGCGTTGCTGGATTCGAGGCGATCACGGTCGGCGGTGGCCGAGAGTATCTTGTCCTCATACTTGGAGAGAAGGAGGGCAGTGGCAAGGGCCACGATGCCACAGAAAAGTTCTATGACGATGTCTGGGTCTACCAGGTCCCCGCAGAGGGCATGAGTCTGGCAAGCGTCGGGGATAAGGTGAACTCTGTCGTTGGAAGGAAAAGCAGGGAAGGTCATTGGTGAGTTTTCCGTCCGATTCCTGCCCAGATGTCTCTTTAACCATAATTACTAACGACTTGGGTGCTGCAGGACTAAGGTTGATACTGTCCCACATGATGCCGAAGATGTTGCCTCGGTTGGCGGCCCTGGCCCAAGAGGCTGGATTGCTAGTGCTGCCATGGGCGAGCTTGAGGAAAACAGTATCTTGATCTGGGGTGGTTTGGATTCCGAGAACAAGAGACTGGGAGACGGCTGGATTTTGAGATTGCTCTAATTCGGTTAATTTTGTTTTGGATGACGAGGCTACACTACACAAAAGTTGATATTCCCCTCGGTATGATTTTCAGGATAAAAAGTGTTTGGAAGCTTCAAGGTTACTTACTATACGAGACGGTTAGAAAGTTTGATTTGGATAACGCCACTCAAGTGGAGGGAGGAATTGGCTTACCATTCTGCACTGGGTATGATGCTTATGATATGAGCAACACTTTGCATGGACCCTTTAGTTGGATATGATTAAACAGGGACAGGGGAACTTGGGATGTGTAGCTCAAGACTCCTCGCGAGGACTTTGAATTTGATTTTGTCAGCTCAGTTAGCCCAGATTATCGTCAGATTATTCAAGCATACCACAAGAAACAACACAAATACAAATACAAATAGTGTACTGTAACGTTCTTAGCTTTGTACATCTCTGGTCTAATGCATTTGCCGTCATCACTGTCCTGTTGGTCCATTGTCCTGTCTATGTGACAGTTTCTGTCATCGTGACCTTGCACGTCAGCCCCATTACCGCTCATCTAATCCCATATCAAACCCCCAGACTTAAAGATCCGACCTCGTGACCTCCGGCCCGTATGGCTCGCTCGTCAGACTTGTTAGGCCGGCGGCATTCTCGCACGTCTGTCTCCCGCTCTGCGGGCCCGGCTTGGGCGCCTTGGATGCGTCCGTGACACTCTCCTTGAGCGCCACCAACACCTGCGTGATGGTTTCCGGGGTCAAGTCCTCAAAGTAGTCGTCGTTGATCTGGACCATGGGCGCGTTGGCGCACGCGCCAAGGCACTCGACCTCGAGGAAAGTGAAGAGGCCGTCGGGAGTGGTCTCGCCTTGCTTGATGCCGAGGTGCTCCTTGATGGCCTTGACAATCACGTCGGAGCCGCAACCGCCTAGTTGGCAGGGGGTCTGTGGAAAAGAAAGCAGAGTCAGTTACCACGGAATTCGAAATGGAGAGGTGATAGAAACCCAAGGGAAAGGAACTAAAACGTACAGTAGTGCAAGCCTGAACGTGGAACTTGCCAACCGGGGTGCGGTTGTACATGGTGTAGAAAGAGGCGACCTCGTAGACGCGCATGGGGGGCATCTCAAGCAGACGGGCCACCTCGTTCATGACGCTGATGCTGCAGAAGCCGTGCTGGCGCTGGCCGAGATCGAGCAGGGGCATGACGGCGGCCTTCTTGTACTGCGGCGGGTAGCGCTTGATGATCTCCTCAATGACCTTTTCATTTTCGGCCGAGAACTTGAAGGGGATGTCGGGGTTGTTGTCGGGGGTGTTGCGATGCTGGATGGTGATAACGGCAGACTGTCAGCACGCCTGAGAGCTTTTAGCACCTGTGTAAAGCACACACAACATACCACCATGAGGGTGTCGCTCGGCCTCCGCGCCGAGATGGAGAGGCATGCGCGGGAGACGAGCGCAATCGAGGCCGAAGACTTGGTAGACAGCCGGGTCGCCGCCCGGACGGCCGTCCGCATGAGGAAGGGAGTCAGCTTAGTCGCCATGGCTGTCTTGATACGCGGACGGTGGCGTGGAGGGCCCAATTGGCGACTTGCGATTCTTCGTTCGAGAGGTTGGAGCTTTCCGTAGAGCTTCTCGTCGACGTCCCAGTTTGGAGGTTGCCCGCGAGGTCCCGCTACGTTGTTAACGGGTTGGATGTTCTAATAGTTTGTGACCTAATCCACGTAGGTGATTGGCCCAAGAGCTTCTTCTATCGGGTTAACCGAGCCGGGGCAGGTGCCAAGCGGTGCTTCGGTCTCTCAGTAAGGTACGACGGTACCTACTCACTCTCAGCGGGCAGACAACAGCCAGCAAATGGCCGCCACATGGGATTATCTGCCATGTTGGGCTGCTGAATTTGGTGGTCTCTCGATATCAATTGAACCCCCGCGCCGCCTAAGTCTGACATTTCGGGTGACTTATACGACGAACGACAGGACCCGATCAGGCCTCCGTGGGTGAACCCCGCTGTGTCCCGCATTCAGGCTGCGTCCGGACTCCGCCATCCGCCATCTTGCTGGAGTCTTTCCGTTGTCTGGGTCCATTTCCCCGTCTCCATTCTCTCCATTCTCTCCGCTGTGAACACGGGAGTCCTGAGTCAGTTCAAGAGGCCTCGGACCCCACCAGATCCATTTTCCTTATAAGAGCTCCATCCTTGCCTGGGTGTCTTTGACCTGTCATCCTGAACGGTCCCGCATCTCGCTCCCCTGCCGGTCCAGGGCTCAACCTGACATAACACGCGATACTTACCCGGCAACTGACAGTTTCGAGAGCTCTACCCAACCCAACCCTATCGAATTATCGAACTATCTAACAATACAACTCAACTCGCGACAAACCCTCGAACCCTTTTGAACGCTGCGCCTGCGCAGCTCCGTCGGTCATCATGGGCGCCTTCGATAATCTGTTGTTGACCCTCGACGAGGGCATCTCGGATTTCTTTGCACAATGGAACATCTACAGCACCATCATTGTCACTGCCTTCATCGGCTTCATTACCTACCAGCTCTCTACACGAACGGACCCCGATACCCATCCCATGCTCCTTGTCCGACAGGCTCAAGGCTCCCCCGTTCGACAGCCTGGTCAGTCTCCCGTATACCGCGCCCAGTCTGCCCCTCATGGTATGCCTCTTCAGACCGGTCTGAACGTCAAGGATCCCGGTGCCTCGCGCTGGGCAAGAGGGCGCGATGGTGATCTCCGCGATATCTGGAGGCAAGCTGTGGCCGGTGTCCAGGAGGACGGCCCGAACAAGGGCGCCAAGGGCAAGATCCTCAGCGTTTTAGCACTCGTTGGACGACATCACGCGCCAAATCAACCTGATCGGACAACACATCAAGGAGCAGGGCGGCAGCCGTGTGGCCATCTACATTCCCAACTCGGTCGAGCTACTTGCGGCCCTCTTTGCCTGCGCCTTTTACAACCTCACGGCCGTCGTTCTTCCCTTCGATCAACCGGAAGAAGATGTTATCTCAGTGTTGCGCCGGTCTGGTGCTGACACTGTCATCACTGCCCCCGGCTGTTTCCCTTTCGACCTCGTTGCTAAGCACTACCCGTCTCTCCGTCAGCTGATTTGGATCGTCGAAGAAGGCAGCAGGCACATGGACTGGAATGAAGTTCCCGAGGGCACCGGCAGTAGCGTCAATGTTTCCACCTGGCATGAGATCATCGGCGACAGCCCCGCCGCCGCTGGCCGTGAGCTTCCCCCGCTTGAAGGCCAAAAGGAGCCCAGCGATGTCATCCTCTTCTGGCAGTACAAGTCTGGCATTCCCTCGGAAATGGTTACCTTCACAGCCGGTAACTTCGCCTCAGCCATCGCTTCCCAGCTCTTCGCCATCCCGACCTCCCAGAAAATGGGGCCATCCGATCTCTTCCTCCCCGCCGACTCTCTCGCCAACAGCCACACCCTCGTCCTGACCCTGGCCGCGCTTTTCTCCAACGCCTCTGTCGCCCTGAACTCTGTCGGAACCCAAGCCTATGACCTCGCCGCCGCGACCCGCGGCATTTCGCCCACCATCCTCGTCGCCACGCCCGCAGCTCTTGTCAAGACGCACCAGGAGACCGCCACCAACTTCTCGCTCATCGCCCGCAATCTCCACTGGCTGCAGACCCGCCACCTGACCCAGTACGGCGTCATGCCCACCGCCTCGCTCCTCTCGTCTTACTACGACAGCCTTCGCCCTTCTATTGGCACCAAGCCCGGCAAGCTTCGCTTGATCCTGACCGCTGAGCGCGTGGGCTCGGATACGCCCGCTTGTCGTCGCAGGTGCTGTCGGATCTCAGGGCTTACACTGGTGCACGCATCATCTATGCGCTGACGGCTGCCAAGGTGGCGGGCGCGGTGGCACAGACGCTGTTCTATGATTACCGAGTGTTTGAGGATAAGTGCTCGCACTTTGGACCGCCATTGAGCAGCACCGAGGTGTTTTTCAAGGATATGGGAGAGTATAAGACTACCGATGGCGTCAGTAGGGGAGAGGTAAGCTTTAATCTCAACCCCCGTATCCCGTTATTGAATGAAACATAGGACGGTTTGGCTAACCATGAGATGAAATTACAGATTGTTGTTAAGGGACCTTCTGTCTCTGGCGGCGAGACAGCGCTGGGCGTGGCTGGTTATATGAGGGATGATAACACATTGGCGTATGCGTAAGAGGCGGGATGAAACAAGCCTATGAAATGTCCGATATAACTTATCATAGCGACAAATGGGCGCGAAGAAAGTTCTCAGAAAAAAGGCCTTACTACTCAAGAATCTGGAATACAAGCATCCTCAAGAACCGCGTTAGCCAAAGACGTTGATGGACATGTCTATAACGGGATGACATCAAGAAAACAGATAAGACTGAACTGCAACAAAATGATCACATGTGTATCTTCTAAATTGACCTTTGGTTAGACAAAACATCTACCAGCCCAGACCCAAGAAAAAAAGCTGGAAGAGCCCCCATTACGCCCATCGCCATGAAGCCCAATTGTACCTGTTTAACGTGTACGCCCAAAAAGAACACAAAAGGTGCTTTTTTCGTCCAAACATTTTCAAACCAATAAAAACGTCGTCTTCCGCCTCCCATCCTTTCGTTTATGCGCCATTCCTGTAAACCTGCGCACCCTGGTTCCTGAACATGATCGTATCCCTCCTCTGCAACATCATCAACGCCCTATTCAGCGCCACCTCGCTGAACCCCTTACCCTCCACCATTTCCCTGCGGAGGGTGGCCAAGCTGGTGCTCCAGCCGATCGGGAGACGGCGCTTCAGCTCGGCCTCGACGCGGGACGTCTCGTCGTTCAGCTCCCGGTTGCTGCCCGTGCTGCCCCCCTGGTTGACGGCGTCCATGGTCGAGCACAGGAACAAGCGGATGGCCTCGTCCACGTGCTTCTCCGTGGCGACGGGGGAAAGGGTAAGCTTGGCGAGCGACTCGGTGATGCGCACAATGGCTTCGAGCTGACGGACGGTGATGGGAATCGAGGAGCGCGCGTTAGCTTCGAGTTCGGAGGCGTGCACTTGCTTGCGGATGGCGACGAAGTGAGAGGAGAGCTTCTCGGCGGCTTCGGGGGAGAGACGGGGGGCGCAGCGGCTGGAGAGGGAAATTTGTCAGTTTTAAAGTACTTGACGTGAGATCAAGAAGGGGGAAGCGACTTACGATCGGCAATAGGCGACGTATCGCCTCATCTTCTCAACCGGAATCTCGGCCTCGATCCGCTCCTCAACACCGCGGCCACCCATGTGGATGCCCATAACATGCTTGGCGATGCGCTCATCACGGCCGCGCTCGTGCTCATCCTTGACGATGAAGATCATGTCAAAACGCGACAGGATGGTGGTCTGGAAGTCGATGTTCTCGCCGGGGGTCTTCATATCATCGTAGCGGCCAAAGATGGGGTTAGCGGCGGCGAGGACCGAAGTGCGAGCGTTGAGAATCGTGGTGATACCGGCCTTGGCGATGGAAATGGTCTGCTGCTCCATGGCTTCGTGGATCGCCACTCTGTCCTCGTCACGCATCTTGTCAAACTCGTCGATACAGACGACACCGCCGTCAGCGAGCACCATGGCACCGCCTTCGAGGTAGAACTCGCGCGTGGAAGCGTCGCGCTGGACGGAAGCCGTCAAACCGGCGGCGGAGGAACCCTTGCCGGAGGTGTAGATGGCGATAGGGGCGACCTTCTCGACGAACTTGAGCAGCTGCGACTTGGCTGTACCGGGGTCACCCAGTAAAAGGACGTTGATATCACCACGGAGCCTCATGCCATCCGGGAGGATCTTCTTGGAGCCACCCATGAGCAAACAGAGGATGGCCTTTTTGATGTCCTTGTTTCCGTAGATAGATGGCGCAATGCACTCGGCCATGACGTTGTAGAGATCCGGGCGACGGCTAAGTTCAAGGAATTCTTGCTCTTCTTCCTCCGAGAAGACAGCCAGACCCTTGGCTGTTTGGTCAATGTCTGTCTGGATACCGACTGCGCGGAGATAGGGTGTGCGAATGGCGACGGCGCCGCTTGTGGACTTCTTGTTGCCTCCACTTTGGTATATAGAAAAGATGCCCATGACGGTACATCTTGAGCCGGGAACCACACGGTTTGTAAGATAGCGGTCGGCGGAGATCAAGACGTGGCGGGGCAGTTCACCGACGGGGACTTGGTCTGGAGCTTCCTGAAGCTTGATAATCTGTTGGTCGACGAATCTTGACTTCTCGTGTTGTACAAAGTAAGGATCCATGGGGCACTTCTCGCCGGGGTCGCCTGGCGCCCTGATTCTGCCACATGACCTGGGAAGGGTGGCGCCACTGAAGCCGCCGGATACGTGAACGTGTTGGACGTGGCCGCAGTTGCGGCACTGGACGTGAAGTTCTGTCGCCTTGGACGACATTACCGAGGCACCAATGACGATACCAGGTACCCGGACCAGCCGGGAGATTGTAAGGGAGTCGAGGTTACGGATGGAAACATCTTCGGCGTTGGAATGTAGAAGCAGTTGGTGGTCGGGCAGGTCTATCTTGGGCTCGTTCGGGAAGACAATTCGGTGTGTGCAGCGCTTCAGGGCGGCCTCGAACAGAGGGATAATCTCGGCGGGTTCGGTGACTAGTCTGTGGGCGATCTCCTCGTTGAACTTGATCAGGTCGCCAATGTTGACATCGCAGTAGTATTTTTTCAGGAGGGCATTTTCTCGTAGTTGATCTCTGGACGGGATCTTGTTAGAAGGATACTTCAGGGAGAGAAAAGGGTGATAGTAGGAAATGAAGCCAACCTGTAGATGAAGCTGTTATCGAGTCTGAAGTCGAGAATGAAAGCCTCGAGCTGGGCGCGTATGTGCTGGTTGCTGTCCTCCTCTGGTACATATGAAGAAGCAGCGCCGGCGTAGGTCCGGGCTGAGAAGACAGACTGATGATCCATAACTGACGGTGGTTTTGTGTGGAGCTGGTTTGTTTACTCAGGTGCGCTGGGTCGTAGAGGTTCGCACCAAGAGTGTTGTATGGTATCTGGAAGGCAAAGCAGAGGGAGAAACCAAAATCGCAAAACGTAGGTACGTATGCGAAAACCGCGACGCGAGAAACATTGGATACTCCGCGCCCAAGACGCGATTTTTGGCAGGGGTTTTAATGGGTGCCCCACCTGTAACTGGATGGCAGGAATCCGCCGCACGGCCCAGCAGGCAGGGCCCTGAAGTGCGGAGTACCCTAACATGAACACGTGTAGAAGAATATTCCGTTAAGGGGATTCACCCTTCATACACTCTTGCAGCAAACGGTGCGAGAGCCAGCCCAGCTCCGTGGCCCGCTCAAGTAATCATGGCGGGCGGAGCTTCATTCAACTGCACTACGTATCCGAACAAGGGTCCTGTAGTTTGGGATCCAATGCTGCGTGGCTTCCGCTTCGAATGGGGGGACTTTCAACAGCTCCCGAGTCTCAACTTCAATACCTACTCTTCGTCACAATACTAGTGTTTTGCGCTTCTTCTCGGCCATCTTGTGTGGAAAATACACTCTGGTTCTTGTCTTGCCCTTGTTTCGCCATGATATCCCGGTGACCCTTTGCAGTAACAGCCCATACTCTCTGTCTACCTTGGACCACGATACCTTCAACAACACTACAAGCACCTACCTACCTATCTGCCGGCCCGTGCCTAGTACAGCTTGAGCCTCCCACGATCATCATACCGATTACCGAACTCCCATCTTTTCCAAGTCGCCAATCCACCGCGCATGACCAAGGGCCATTTCGTCTTCCCCTGAGCTTAGGCCTAGGACTTCCGGGAGACTTGATGAGCCATCATGTTCTCCAACCAGGGTGCTCGCAAGTCGGTCGATAGCCTATCGCCAATACCTAATGCCGGCCATTTTGGCGACTTCCCTTTCCATGGGTGCGATGCGCTTTGTCTGTCCATGCCTTCTCCATAACACATACACTAACAGCTTCTTAAAGGAGAGGCTCACGCAGTCCGAGCCGCCCGTTCCATCCGCGACGAGATTCAACTGCGAGCTCCATACACTCCATCGGCGGCTCTCTCGACAGTTCCAGCGGTACCTGGGGTGACGCCGTCCTCGAGTCCGGCCAGAATGCCATCTCGACCCTGCTCCAGCCACCCATAGTACGAACCGGTCTGCTTCCCCACACCTCAGCTCCCGCTTCCACTGCTCATAAGCCTCCGACTGCTCGAGACATTCCGCCCGTCACTCTCACCAACGTCCCCAACGTTGATAATGCCGAATTTACGCAATACCTCACTCAAGTCGGCGCGTTATACGAACAGCTACGTCGGGTTCAGGCGGACGAAGAAGAGGCATCCGGTACTCACAGCAGGCGAGGTAGCAAGGCTGACGCAACCTCGGTCGAGGATGGACATCTACGGCCGGGTAAACGATCGGGCGCTTCCAGGAGGGCTTCCAGTTCATCCATTGCGTCCATATCATCGATAGAGGCCCCGGGCCCCGCTCGACGCAGCTCAAGCTACAGGAAAGCGGCATCGCAGGGTCCTCCCCCGTTGTCCACCATTCCCCTGGTATATTTCGACGAAGATTTTCACCTCGAGAACCCCCGGACTTTTGATGTTGTCAGCGAGCGATCCGAAGTAGTACGACCCGCACCGGGATCCGAAGACCGAGCCAACCATAATGGCCAGGCATCAGCGCCTCGGAAGGCCCTTGCGACGAACGCCATATTGCAGGAGAAGCTATCATGGTACATGGACACCGTCGAAATGCACCTCATCCAGTCTATTTCAACCGCTTCAACCACCTTCTTCACTGCGCTGGGGTCTCTTAGGGAACTACATTCAGAAGCCGCGGACTCCGTGGGCAGAATCAAGACACTAAGGAGAGAACTGGAAAATCTGGACGAGGAGATCGCAACCAGGGGCTTGGACATCGTGCACCAACGGCGGAGACGGGAGAACATCCAGCAATTGCACGATGCAGTCATGCAGCTCCGGGAAGTGGTTGAGGGGGTGGCTGTATGTGAATCGCTGGTAGACTCGGGCGAGGTGGATGCAGCGCTTGACAACATTGACGCTTTGGAAAAGCTGATCGCCGGAGAAGAGGGGGCTTCCCACAATGGTCGTCCCGGGATGGAGTTGAGAGATCTCAGGGGCACCACTGCTCTCCAAGGTGTACACAACGACATGAGTACTCTCCGGCAACGTATCGGCAAGAGCTACGAAGAGAGGTTTATCACTCTCCTAATACGTGACATCCAGCGCCACGTTGCGCATGTCTCAACTCAGGAGGTTCTGATGCGGTGGAGTAGTGCTTCCATACGCGCCCGAGGAGGTCACAATCGCGAGCCCTCGGCTTTTCCATCCTACCTGACATCAACAGACGGTCTCCGATCGGAACTTCTGGTTAGTCTGACTGGCTTGCATAGAGCCAAGTTCCTTACAGCCGCTGCGACTGCTTATAGAGAGACAGCTGTACGCGAGATCAAGAACCTCATCCGCCGGCCCTTGCCGAGTTCCAACGATGATGATAATGAGTCCATGATGTCCGCGTCGACCATGACAGGAGGCAAGCAACGCCCTCAACAGGAGCGTTCCTCCATTCTGGCTCGTAACCTGCGTGCTTTGGAACCCAAGGAGGCGGAGGAGCTGCTAGTCAAGATCTACATCGGAGTAACCGAAACCCTAAGACGACTGGATACACAAGCAAAAGTGTTGTTAGACGTCGCAAGTTCTCTCAGCGACTCGGATCCGACTAGCGGTCTTAGGTCTCCACCTTTTAGTCCTACCGGCAGGCGCTTGTCTACAGCAGCCCTAGAGGCTCAGGAAGAGATCCATACAGCCCTCGACCTTTCAAACCTTCTTGGGCAAGCCGTTGATATTGCTCAGGATAAGGTCGTGAGGCTATTGAAGGTTAGATCGGAGCAGAGTACTCGTCTAACGCTTGAATGGTTCCTGCGATATTTCACTCTCAACCTCCATTTCGCCAATGAGTGCGAGGCCATCTCAGGCCGAAGCGGGACAGTCTTGAAGAACCTGGTCAATGGTCATATCAAGGAATTTGTTCAGCGTCACGGCGATTCTGAGAAGCAGAAGCTTGCCCAGGGCATGGAGAGTGACCAGTGGGCAAGCCAGGATTTTACCGAGAAAGATACGGAGCTTCTCAGCCACATATTGGAAGGGAGCACACGAGATGCGGCCATTTGGGCAGAAGCAACCAAAGTCTGGATTACACCCTCTGATAATGAAGATGGTGACAGCGCTGCTGCTCCTGCCCTTGGAGCGCAGGCCAACGGCGACTCTGGGGACAAGGCTGCTGAAGCACAGGCGAACGGAGGTTCCAAGTCCAAAGCGCGCGCTGCCGTCGTCGACTCTGAGACGTTCCTGCTCCCCAAGTCCGCGATATTATGCATGAACGGCACGGCTCAGTTCATCCACCTTATTGTCGGCATTCCCTCCATGACAGCTGATGTGTCGTCCTCGCTCATCGCCTACCTTCAACTGTTTAACTCCCGCTGCAAGCAACTCATTCTGGGCGCGGGTGCCCTCAAGTCTGCGGGCCTTAAGAATATCACAACGCGCCATCTTGCTGTAGCATCGCAGGCACTAGCCTTCATCGCGGCAATTATTCCTCATGTGCGTGAGTTCGTCCGCCGTCATTGCGTCAACAGCCTTGTCTCCGGTGTGATGGCGGACTTCGACAAAGTCAGGCGTGACTTCCAAGAGCACCAGAACATCATCTACAATAAACTGGTCGAGATCATGACCGGCCGAGCAGTCCTTGCATCTAGGAAGATGAGGCAAATCAACTGGGATGCCGGGTCCTCAGCAGCGCACGAGTACATGGAGACACTCGCCAAGGAAACCACCACGCTTCACCGCAACTTGACTAGACAGTTGCCAGAAGGAACGGTGCGCATGATCATGATGTTGGTGTTCAAGAACTACAAAGACACATTTGGCTCGACGTTTAAGGGACTGGAGCCTACCACGGAAGCTGGGAAAGAGAGGTGAGTTTTTCTCCGTGTCATCGAACGAGCTTTCAAGAGGCGATGCTAACATCTGGACTACAGCATGTTGCGTGACGTCGAATACTTCGATTCCCGCCTCAACAAGCTCGATGGGTTTGAGGATGCGGGTCAGCACCTCATCAACATTGTTAAAGCCAAGGAGATCAGGAAAGCACCTTCAAGGCCAACATCCCTTACCCCGTCCCATCCTCCATCTCGCACTCCATCCCGAGCTCCATCCCCTGCGCTCGCTCCTGGTTCTCGTGCCGGGTCTCGCGCCGGGTCCCGCGCCGGATCTCGAGCTGGGTCGCGGGCAGGATCTCGCGCGCCAACACCAACACCTACTCAGACATTGACGGGAAGAAGCTCCGCTGAAATCATAGCAGAAGTTAGTGCCGCTGCTGAAGCAACGGGTTTCGGAAGGTAATATGAGTTAAGAAATGGCTGGGGCTAGGCGTCTAGATAAAAGCATCAGTACTGTTTAACGGGGGGTTCCAACCTCAAAAATGTCAAACCTTCAAGAGTTTAATGACCAAAGTTGTCCCGACGCTCCTGCCATTTCCCTCGTGCCACTGCCGCACTCCTAGGAGTCGCGGTCGCCCCTTCCTCATGAAGTGGCAGACATCGGATGACATGACATGACACCTTGCCCGCCCCGGCACCTCCCGCGTACCTTCCAAGACTAGAAGCACCAGTGACAGGCACCATATAAGGTTCGTTAACTGACCCCTCTAACACAACGGGGAACCCCACTGCGGTTGTCATGGTCTCATGGCGCAGTGGTGGTTATCGTTGCATGACTAACTTAGCGTAGCGGTTTTCCCATGGTTGCAGCTAGCGGATTGTTGTTAGTTCAACAAGCGTACTATGGGCGACTTGGCTTTTTTGTTGCAAATTTTTTTATTGGATTGGTCGGGGAAGTGATGAGGATGTTGGAAATCAGTGTTTTAGTCTACATGTTTATTTTTGGAGTTTTTAGAGCGAGTTTGGTTTTGGTTTTGCGAATCGACGATGGAAGTGAAAGGCCTGATGTAATAATGTGTGTGCACCAAGTTTCCAGCTTTCAAGTTCGTTGTCGTTCGTGTGAAAAGAAAGCTCCTTTATGATCCGAGTCCATCACCATATGTACTTGGTTTACATTCTGTTGCATCAACACGTTAAAATTCTCAGTTGTACTTTTGCTCTAAATACTCTCGGCTTCTCGGTCGCCGAGTCTACGACGCAGACTATGATTCAGTTAGTCAGCCCTGGTATCTCGATCCGCCTGCTCTGCTCCCCTTTCTGCACATCGCTCAGAGATAAGGTAGGTAGGTAGGTATGTTTATAAGCAGGCATTATCAGGGTTCATAAGCTGATAAGCTAAGCTTCGTGGCTGCAATGCACGTTGGCTTGGCCCTCTTCGTACATTACTGCTTCTTTATCAAGAGGGTGATGCACGAAATGTCATTAGGTAAGGAAGGTCTTTTGCGGTGCGCAGCGTCCGAAGTCTTCGATGTCGGGAGTCGGGAGCACGGGACACGGAACACGAAGGTTGGAACACGGAACACGGAGCCCGGTGGTCAGTTCTGTCCGTTGGAATTTCCTTGGTAAGCGAGTACATGAAGCATGCATGCATTTTCCTCGTAAAACCTCCACCCCCTCTTGGTTTCATTTCTGGTGAGAATTTTTGAACCTCGGATCGGACCGGGACTTCCCGTAACGGAAATGTAAAGAACTGAAAGGAAAGGCCACTGCAGGTGCCATGATGCCTTATCTCGACCAACATAGCCTGTGAAGAAGCCGAATCGATTCTGGAGGACTCAGCTGAGGAAATAGTGATGCACTTTAAGCTTGGTTTCACCTGCCGTTGGAATTTTCTTTGCGTGGCAGAGGGAGATCAAGGAAGGAGCTACTTCTGCTGTGCCCGATAACGCCCGGGTTTTGTTGTATTGTCCCCTCCTCCAGCTGTTGTCAAAGTCGTAACTGCCATCTTGGGGAACAAAATTATCGAAAGAGGAAGTCAAAGTTTGCTTGGGCGTCGAGACGTTCCATATCATCGCTGGGAAAAGTATCTTTTCTGAGTTGTATCGTCCAAAGAAGGACAAAGGGTAAAAACTTCAAAAATATTGAACTAAATATGGTCCATATACAAAATGTTTCCGTACAAGTAACTCCAACCAGGCAGAAAGTCTTGGAGGACGTCTATAGATAGGTAGATACGTTGTCTTTTCCAATTGTTTTGTAATGCTTCATTAGGGTTGTCAAAGTAATCTAAACTAACCCGCCTTTCCGTTCCATGATGCTCTATCTTTCCCGTCTAATACCAGTCCTGTTGACCTGCTTCTTTTCGTAATCTCTTCCTTATATGACATGTTTCCTGAAACAACTTCTCGATAACCAATCTTTAGTCTATGGCGCGTAATGAACCAAAGAAAAAGATACCCTAATCAAAGCTGCTGACCCGTCGTGCGTGACATCCTGGTATGGGAGAGAGAGGTGATGATTGGAGTCGTTCTTTGTTGCTACTAGTGACCTGATGACGACTAGTCGGATGCCGTGTGATTTGCGGCAACGGTATAGCCATGGTGGCCATGGCTATGGTCGAATGTCATAGTGGGAGTTGCTGTCTGCTTCTTGACCGAAGTGACTAGAGTCGAAAGAGTTGGATGGGAGGATGCTGTCTCGTTGGCGATGTCGGTCTCTTCGGTGGCGTCTTCTTCATCGGCGGCTTCCTCATCGGCAGCGTAGTCCTCAGCTGCAGTGTCTTCCTCGTTGGTGACGTCCGCCTCATCTGCAGTGTTTTCCTCGTCGGTGGCGTCCGCCTCATCTACAGCGTCTTCCTCGTCGGCGTTGTCCGTCTCGTCGGCAACGGCAGTGTGAGTGGCAGTAGGAGACTCGGCTGTAGTAGTACCGCCAGTAGCAGCGGGCCCGCCATGGACAGCAACAACGCTGGCATCCGCACCGGTTACGGAGGGTATGGACATAGGAAGCCACTTCTGATGTTTATCGCTGTAGAGCATGTGCCACTGTGCGAGGTGAGGGTACTTCGCCAGATCAGCGTTGCCGAGGGTACAGTAGAATTCCTCGCTCTTGGTGGGCTTTTTCGTCTGCTTGTCGTCCGGGTGGTAGTATGCATGGTCGCAAGGAAAAGTGATGCAGCCGCTGACCTCAGCGTTGGGGTCGTTAGCGGGCCAGAACTGCTTGACGCCCACGTGGTCGCCGGGATTGTCGATGGCAGAGACATCGAACCATGACTTGCTCTCGAACCCCTGGGCACGAATCTCGGCCAGCATTCCGGTGCGGTCGCGAGTGCCGGCCGGCACGGAGTAAAAGTTGCCTTCCCAGCCGGTGGGGATATCGAGAGAGACGTGAGTGAGTCCAGGAACAGCTAGGGGTATGAGGTCCTCGCACCCCTGGTTACCCTCTGCACACCCAAGCTTGTGCTTGGAGTAAATGACTCTGTCACCTTGGTCAAGGGAGATGAAGGTGACCTTGTTGGCGGCCACAAGGCCAAGGACTGGGAGGAAAAGTAGAGGCGTCGAAGGGAACATCTTGAAACTTTTTTGTCGGATGGTTCAAGTATCAAGGTCGTATTAAGTCAAAGGACGAAATTGGAGTGTGCTTTGTATTTCGAAGTTGAAAATGGTGATCCCTAAAGCGTGGAAAACGGGAGGGCATATCAGCCATATATACGAGCCCAGGCCTTCGTTTCGAAAGATGTTCTCTTTTTCTAACTTGCTAAGATCTGGAATTCCGAGTGTTTATCCACACCGGTGCATGCCGCATATTTTCCGTGGAATCCGTGGGATAAAAAGCTGACGTGCAGAAGTTGCCGGGTCTGGATGCAACAAGTGCCGTACACTGCCCGGCTCTCGTTGAAACACTAGCAACCAGGCCATCCATTGTGCTTCATGCTTCGATACCTGCTCAAATATGTCGGTTTGTAACATTCTCTCCCCCTCTCAGTTTTGAAACTTCTGGACACTCGACGGTGATGGTAGACGAGAGGCTCAGCAGGGCGGTTTGGACACTCCCTAATAAAGAGCTTCGTAAGCGAGTACTCCTCGTGGTTTGTATGATTTCGACACTGTAAAAGCTTGGAGTATTGCATGTCGACATTCTGTAACTGGTATGCCACCTGGAGCTGCGGCACATTGGAAGTCCGAGTGTATCGAGAGTATTCGCGCCCCAACTGTATGGCCTGCCGAACTCAGGGTTGGTGCTTTGGGGTTTTTGCCGGGCACGACGGTGCCAGTTGACCATCATAATGCACTGCAGACTTTGTATGCCCTTAAAATCCCGAGATTCTCATAACATGGAAGTCTGAAGTGAGAAATGGAAGAAAGCAAGACATGTCGTCTAAGCCAGGTTCGGTATCACCTGCGCATAGTACATGCCAGCTGCTGTCGGCCCGCAGTAGCATCTCTCGGCGAGTTTTGATCGATGGTACAGCTCTCCACTAACTCAAAGTAGATTAGCACATGTTTGCTGAAAGTAATGTTATGTGATTGGACAGAAGGGACCTGGGTTCGTATTTACAACATGGCCACAGAAGCCAGCTCTCTCACCAGCTCTTTGATATTGTTGATGCCGTTGACCAAGACCTGCCGAAACACATGTTATCCGAGTTCTAAGGCGTAAACCGAGCCGATCGAAAGCTGTTACAGGTGAGTGACACACACGGAGGCTTCATCAAACATGCTAGTCAAGTGGACATGGGTGAATGCGTAATTGTTTCTTGTCATGGAGTTGTTGTGATTTGGTCACAGCAAGAAGGGAACGTGGTAAGTCGGATACAAAAAGGCAAGAGAAACGGCGGAACACTCGAAGAACACACAACTCGGTCGGTTACTAAGTCATATATAGATGTTAACCGCAATACTATATAACCAGGTCTCGTGAACCGGTATCGTCTCTCGGCCTTGGTGCCCGTCAATTTGTGACCGCGTGATCATGAGAATGCACGGGGAGCCTGAAACTTGACCATCGCTCCTTGGGATTGCTTGCTCAGGCGTCCGTGACACTTAAAGCAGGTCTTGCACGCTTTATACAACCAACAAGAAGGAGGCGATAAGCAAAATGTTTATCTGACCACGTTCGACCAGAGTGAAGGTGCAGCCAAGGCGCTTGAGGCATGTACTCTGCAACAGGGCCAGAACAAACAAGATTAGGGAGAGCATCCTACATACTGCGTAAGGCCAAGGTGGCGGGGTGGGTAACGATACCTTGAGAGGAACACCAGCTATCGACATGCAATCTGATGTCCAAATAACGATGGTCATTTCACACATTCGTAGGAGCACCGCCGTTATTATCATCATCGTCGTCGTCAAGATCGTCATCATCGTATCCGTCCGCCAGGTAGTCTTGATCAAACCAATCGTCGTAGCGACCGTTTGCCCCATTCTCATCACCATCGCTTTCCTGACTCCGGTCCTCATATATCCCACTTCCATGATCCGTCATTGCTGGTACAGGACCGACATACTCATGGTATCGTCCAGATCTCGGGACCCTCCTCAGCCTCGGCGCCCCGCCGCCGTTGCTACCAATACTGATCCTTGCTGCCGACGGCAAGTACTCTTCAATATTGGGAAATGCCAAAGAAGGCGGCCTCTAGCGCTCCGTCAAATCAGCGAGTTCCATCCTCGACCTAACCTCACGAATGAGTGCCTTGGCCTCTTCCACCTCGACTCCATCCTGGCATAGCTCCGTAGCCAGCCGGTTAGCCGTAACGTAGTCCTCCGTCTTCATCGCGTACCTGGCAAGCCACATACGTGCCTTGCTTGTGGCCACTGTTACCCCTGTTCCTTCTACCTGCCCAGCTCCACCACGCCCCTCGTATCCTCCCTCTGCATCCCCGTCCGACCCAGGCGAATCCCCATGAACGACAAAAGATTCGCCGGGATTCGAGGTACCGACAGCTGAAGTGTCCACGTTTTCAGTAGCTCCTCCATCCTCCTGTGCCACACAAAGCTCCATGTACGCCCTGGCCTCGTCGACCTCCCCCAGGCGGTCATACATGGTAGCAATCTGGAGCAACACCTCTGGATCCATCTGCGCCATCCTGTCTGCAGGCCCCGAACTCCCGAAGCTACTCAACGTTGAATCATAGTAACTGTCCGCCAGCAATGCCCTCTTGAGTGCCTTTATCCCGTCCCTGTCTTTACCCATTTTCTGTAGGCATGACCCGACAGCCTGCCACATCTTCCCATCCCAAGGTCTGAGACCAGCAGCCTTTTTGTAATAGTATAAAGCGTAGGCATTCATCTCGAGCACCTCATATGTCTGTCCAAGACCGTACCAGGCGCGGTAGTCGCGCCGGTTGACATCAACAGCGCGCCGGTATGACTCGATGGCTGCGTGTGTGTTCTTCAGCTCGACGTATTCATGACCCATAAGCGTCCAGGCGGAGAGGCACGAGCGGTCCAAAGTGAGGGCTCGGCGGAAGTACTGTACAGCCTTTTCGTGGAAAGATAAGAGAGAGTAGTAGTTGCCTATGACGACGCACGACTCGGGTCGGAACTTGTCTATACTGGAACAAAGGTGGGCCAAGAATGCAAGTTTTGGGCGCATATTGAGGACGTATAAGATGTTGGAGTAGTGATCTAACGAATCGAGACGATGTGGGTGTAGCGCAAGCAAGTTGCTGAAGTTTTGTTCCGCAGTGTACAGGTCCTTGGAGTGGTAGTTTAAGAGCGCCCTACAAGTTAGTATGAAAGAGGATGTGGGGAAAAGCTTCAGGAGGTCGTTAACCGAGGCAGCGAGATCTTGCCCTTGTTGATACAGATTAACCGCCGTGTTGGCGTAAAAGATGAAAGACATGATGTTTTGAGGAAGGACGGGGGTTATCTTGTTGAGCTGTTCGACCCCTGGGATGAGATTTGTGAGCTCAAGCCAAGCACCCCAGTTCCATGGGAACAGATGGACACTATTGAGAAGATAATCGAACGCAGCGTCGTCGTTCTTCTCCTTGACCAAAACCATGCCGTACCTATTTCAACATCAGCATAACGCACATTACAAGACGCTATACACAGGGACACACTTACAGATATTCGAGGAAGCCCTGACTTGGTGGCAGATCGGAGTCTTCAGCCTTGCGCTCGGCAAACCATCTTTCAAGGAAGCGGCTGACAATAACAAGATGGCTGTTCTTGATGGTACCCAGGTCCTGTGGACCCATGATCATCTCCGACTCTTCGTTCTTCTTCTTCTCTCCCGAGATAACTTTGGCATAGAGGGCCAGGAACAAGCTTTTCTGACTGAGATTGGGCAGAGACTGCTCGAACGGCAGAGCAGCACTTGCCTTTCCCTTGCCTTTTGGTGTGGCAGGATCATTGGCTTTCGTGGATAGTAGGCCGGAGAGAAGTGAATCTGGCAAGAAGACGGAAGCGCAGCGGTCGAACTCTTTGCAATCGAAGAAGGACTTGGCGAGTAGATACTTGCTGAGGTCCTTAGCCTCCAGCTCAGCTTCCACTGGGTCCGGATTAGAGGAGAAGGCCGGGTGCTGATATCCTCGAAGTCCAGCCGCATCTTCTTGATCCACATCACTTAGGACTGGATCGGGAACCGAGTCGAGGAGCTCGGCGGCCCTGAATTGTTGCGTTAGCCAAGGGAGACGGCCTCGCGGATACCGTGGGATGGACCGAATACCATTTTGCAGATTGGTAAAGACAACGCTCGGAGCATTTCACAACTGCATTTTGCAGGGCTTCTTTAAGGTGTAAGGTGTCTATTGCTGATAGACGCATTGTGACAAAAATGTGGTTAGTGTTTAGGTATGTCGCCTGGGAGATAATTGTTAGTGAATGAGTATAAATAACGAGTGGGGGAGACATCACGGAGGGAGGCAGACCGATTAAAGATAGATTGGCCGCGACCAAGAACTTTGCTGAAGGAAATCCAGTTCCCGTTCAACATGAAGAAAATTCAAAAGTGTGGCAGTTCGGTGCCATTAACCAAAGGCGCTCTTTTGTGGGCTGAAAGAGTGACGGATGTTGAAGAGTAAGTTTGGCCGATCGATCAAAACAATGTCCCGTCGTGAACATTGTTGTCCCAGGCCGCTGTTGGTTGGTCCTTCCTGTTGCTACAGGGCGTTCAGCGTTGTCGGGAACGCGTGCACGGTGCACATTGTACACTAAGGTTGCGCCGGCAGGCACCAATGGCAGCACATGGAAGGTGCGGCTACGACGCAGGCGGCAGGGGGGGTGTCGCGCCCACTGGATCGACACCACGGTGCGCACCCACGGGCGGCCAAGTCGAAGGGTCCAGTCCAGTCCCTCTCGGTAGATGGAAGTGTTCGGTTACAGGGATCGCAGGAACATCTCTTCGGCGTTCAGCATCCAAACTTGGGATTCATGACGCCTTATACGCCTATATGGACGGAATGTTTCTCCATTCATAGCTAGGCCGTGTTGAAGTGATCAGAAGAACGACTATCACGACCCCTTTTGTTGGGCCTCTTGTGTTATCGGGAGCTTGGGTCACTTTGGGTCATTTTGGAGATGGTGTAGAGACTCGCTCCACCTGTCCGATATATTACCCAAAGAGGTGCAAGATTCACACATCTAGCATTGTTAGATTGTACAGCTGTCCCGCCGACCCCACCAGGCCAAGCTGGCTCTGCTAAACAGTGCTTGTAGCTAGTAATTGCGATTTCCCACCTCCTGAACCAACCCATCTTCCCGATACATATCTCCTCCCCGTCCTCTTCCCAGCAACCCCCAAAGTTTCTTCGGGCAGAAACCACATATCGCAACCATGGCCAAGACAACAACCCTCAAGGAGTTCGAGAGCGTCTTCCCCAAGCTGGAGGAGGCGCTCCTCGAGTATGCCAAGGCATACAAGCTGCCCGAGCAGATGCTCAGCTGGTACAAGCAGGTGAGCACCATGATTGTCTACCTTTGTCGCGTCCCAAAAAGAGCTATGATGCTAAATCTATCGTCTTTTTCCTGTTGTAGTCCCTTGAGGTCAACGCTCTCGGCGGCAAGTGCAACCGCGGCATGTCCGTCCCCGACTCGGCCTCCATCCTGCTCGGCCGCCCCCTGACCGAGGAGGAGTACTTCCAGGCCGCGACTCTCGGCTGGATGACCGAGCTCCTCCAGGCCTTCTTCCTGGTCTCCGACGATATCATGGACTCGTCCATCACCCGCCGCGGCAAGCCGTGCTGGTACCTCCAGGAGGGCGTTGGCATGGTTGCCATCAATGACGCCTTCATGCTCGAATCGGCCATCTACACCCTTCTCAAGAAGTACTTCAAGTCGCACCCGCGCTACGTCGACTTCCTCGAGCTCTTCCACGAGGTTACCTTCCAGACGGAGATGGGCCAGCTCTGCGACCTGTTGACCGCGCCCGAGGACAAGGTCGACCTGGACAACTTCTCGATGGACAAGTACACCTTCATCGTCATCTACAAGACGGCCTACTACTCGTTCTACCTGCCCGTGGCCCTGGCCATGTACATGCTCGACATCGCCACGCCCGAGAACCTCAAGCAGGCCGAGGACATCCTCATCCCTCTGGGCGAGTACTTCCAGGTGCAGGACGACTACCTGGACAACTTTGGCCGGCCCGAGCACATTGGCAAGATCGGCACCGACATCCAGGATAACAAGTGCTCGTGGCTGGTCAATAAGGCCCTCAGCATGGTCACCCCCGAGCAGCGCAAGACGCTCGAGGAGAACTACGGCCGCAAGGACAGGGCCAAGGAGGCCGTCATCAAGCAGCTGTACGACGAGCTCAAGCTCGAGGACCACTACAAGCAGTACGAGGAGGAGCGCGTCGGCGAGATCCGCAACATGATCGACGCCATTGACGAGGGCAAGGGTCTCAAGAAGCAGGTCTTTGAGGCCTTCCTTGGCAAGATCTACAAGCGCAGCAAGTAAACCATTCTCCTTTTACGGTTGCTTGATGAAGGATGAGGGGGGGAGATGATATATACGTAATGTTGGACTTGGTTGTTGATGATGGAACAAACGACACTGCAAAGCGTTTCCATTCATTCACAGTTTTTTTTGCGAGAGATACCAGGCCTTTGTTTGTTTTTCTGCTATACATACTTGCTTGAATGCATGCAATGGCCAGAACGAAGGAAGGAAATAAATTAAAAAAAAGTAAATATAATATCAAATATACCATCCCATTTGTATGGGAACACTTTTACCCATTACGGGATGATTCGTCCTATCCCCGCACAACGTTTACTCTGGCGTGGCTAGATAGTGGTGCTTGACGTTCTTTGTAATGCTTTCCCTCGTATTCGTTCTTTGAGTTGTAGTTCGTGACACAAGTGGTTTCAAATTCATCATGAACAGTAAGCATGGAGGAAATGCCCAGACAAGTGTTGAGATTGCAGGTTCAGCATGGGAAATTGCAGTGTAACGAAGTTTAGCGCCAGCAAAGGTTCAGTTACACGAGCAATAAACTTGTATCATACCCGTGACAGATGCGTCTTTGTATTGTCACCGAATTGTAAAAGAAATGTGTGATAAGATTTTTTACAACTACATCAAACCAGTCCAAGATTCTCCCACCTTTGGGGTATAATTCGTCGTTCCATACTTCCATGGTCTTTGCCCCAGCTCCAGCTCTTCTCTCTCTCTCTCTATCTCTATTCTTCTTACCCCCAGCTTGACGCCATGTAGATAAGTCACCCCAGCCTTTCACAAGTTGTGTAGGTATATCCATAAGTTCCCTAACAGCAGCTCCAAACTGACTGCAAGTTCCTGAAATCGCGATTTGTGTTGAAGAATAAAACAAAACAGTGCCGTAAATAAAACAGAATTAAATGGTCAAAGTATAGGTATAAAATTCCATCACCCTGAGAAAATTCTGGAGTCCCTCAAAATATCAGATAACCATAACATAAACCTCCGTTCGTACCAACTCTGACAAGAAGATTCATTACATTGGGCTGTTGGGCAGCATGATATCCGGACCAAAGAAAAAAGAAAGCCCATACATCGTTCAAAAATCGGTAAGAAACTCGTAATCGGCGTTAAGTCGTGATAAGTAATCGTGATACAGTCCAAGGAAAAGTTCTACCAGCTTATTCATGTCAATCAGTAATTGTAAATACTCCCATTTCTCGCGCGGCCGGAAGAATTGCCGACGCGGACACTCCGGGCTCGTTGCACGGAGCCGGCATTGCTGTTCCCGAGTAGACCTCGCGGTTCATCTAGGGCCTCATCGAACGACAACAATGGGTGTGGCTGGTTTCTCAAAGAAAAGGTTCTTTGACGTTCGTGTTCATAGCCGGAGGACGGAGGAGAGCCATTTTTTGACTGGGGCTGTTGCCCACCAGACGACGTACGGGGACGGTAACCTTCTGCGTCTCTACCTCTGGATGAGGGGGGTGGATAGGTCGGCCCGTTGCCGAGGATTGATCCGGGTATAGAGGGTACAGGTGGTACATAGGTCGATCCTGACAGGCTCCTCCCACCACCAGGAGGCCCGTCTCTACTCGTCATCCTGCTCCGCACGGAGGGAGCCCGACTAACAGCCCGGACACTTCCTGCGCTAGAACCTGGCGGTGCTTGGCCACCACTAGTTCCTGGCCGAGAACCAGGAGCCCGCGTGCTGGGTTCCCGTCTAACAAGTGTCCGGGGTGGCAGTTCGATAGGTTTGGCACCGGGAGCCACTTTGGCTGCTGTGGCCATGTCGACCAAAGGTACACCTTCTGGAGCCCTCACACCTCGTCCCAGACCTTCACGCGACCATTGGGGTGGTTCGACAAATTTCGGAGTCAGGTCCACAAGAGGCCCGCTGGGCTTTCGTTGCTGGTTTGGTTGCTGGCGTCGATGCGATTCACGCCCACGGTCGTGCAGGGTCGGGGCGTATTGCGATGGTGCGTATTGCGATGGAGCGTAGTGGGATGGCGGCGACTGATTAGATGGAGCACTGCGACGAACAGAGGGTGCTCTTGTGCTTCGCTGGGTGGCAGTATGTTCAACTGCCGAAGGAAGCCATGCCTTGGGTTCCGACCGCCCATTGTGATACCCGGTCTCCTCGGTTGGTGAAGCTACCAATCCGCCATTTAGAAGGCTGGGTCGATCGGTAAAGCCGTTGTCAGTGACAACCTCCAGCTTCTTCCTCTCCTCTTCCTTCTGAGCCTGTTTTCGCTCTTCATATATGTTGCCAAGCAAACCGCTCGAGCCAAACGGTGCTTCTTTCTCTTCTTGCGTCGCCCTCCTAATTTTCTGAAGCTTATCAAGTGGCGGTAGCGGCGGGACTTGCCATCTCGATCGGTCGGCTTCCCAGTCCTTTCCAAACTCGTCGATGGGTTTGTCGAAACGCTGCAGGTCGATTAGGGGCTTGAATGTACCAATTGGGTAAGGAGACTCGTCGACTGAAACTCTGATTTTGTGGCCATCCACGTTGACATCTCTAACTGCTATCCTTGGTTTGTGCGGCGAAGCAGAGGGTTGAGGCGGTTTCTCTGCATCCCGTTCTTGCTTTTTATTATGCAGCTGCAAAACCTTGTTGACCAGATACCAGCTTCGCCAGGCTTGGACGCGAGCAAAGAATTGATGGGCGACCGCGGCGTCTTCGGTGCTCAAGTAGTGGACGAAATTATCTGTCGACATGAAGATCGTGGTTTTCTGCTGGCTTTTGATGGCGTAGCAATGTTTCTTGGGTGGTCGTAGCTCCTTTCGCTTCTGTGCTTCGGTCGGCGTGTAGATGTCGAAATCAGACAGATGGCAGATGCTCAAGATGTCCTTGTCTGACAGTTTGGCGTCGGGTTTCTTGGACGAAACCAGTTGTCCGTTTTCGAGCAAAGTAATATAACGCTTGGTCCATTTCCCAGGCCTGTGCGAGTGCTGAAGCGGAAGGACAAAGCCAGTAGGTATCTTGTGTTCACGGGGAACACTGGTGAGGTCTAGGTTCTCATCGCTGCGGTCGTTTTCGGTCTGGATAATCAGAACGTTCTGCATGTCTTGGTCCCAAGAGTTTAAGACATCACGGATACGTTCATATCGACGAAGGCGTCGCTCAAGCCCCAAAGGGGTGTACGCCTCGATCACCATGCTGGTGTTGACATTGACGGGAAGGCCTGTCTGGTCGGCATAAGCCAGCATTATGTCCACAGTAGTAGTATCAACGTCAACTTTGAGATCAACCGTCACGCCCTTGTAGCGAACGGTAACGCGCTAACGCAGTAATCCATTAGTCGGCCATCTTGGCTTTGTTCATTAGGAGGCTGACTTACTCTGTCAGCGCCATTGATGGCACCCTTTGGCACCTCATCTTGAATTGGTACAACACCGCGTCCTCCAGAACCAGCATACGTCTTCGCATCCCGACTCCGGGATCTGTCGAGGGGGGCACCCATGGAGGAGGCCGGAGAAACTGGTGAAGTTGGAGAAGTTGGAGATTTTTGTTGAGAAGGGGATGTCGGAGAGGCGATCTTGAGGGGGGTTGGACCTTCTGGCTTGCGGCTGCGTGAGAGAAAAGGCAATTTTCCAAAAACCCGAGTTCTGCCTCTAAGGGAGAAAGAAGAGTGAGAGGGTGCGGGCGAGAGCGGCATGGCTGAGGACTGGTGGTGGTCCATGATCATGTCGGTCTCCAGCTTGCACCGCTCGGCAAGGGTTTGACTGTCGGCTCCCGTGTTTAATCGTGGCACCGAGGTTTGCGAGGTTTGTGAAGCCAAGCCGTCGGCCGCAGTGGTGTTGTTGTTGGTTGAACCCTTGGTTCCGTCTAGGTTAGACCCCTTGTCGGGAGCAAGGCCCTCTTGACCCTTAATCTGCGCCGTGAGTCTAGCCGCTTGTTCAGCTTGCGTGTGCCGGGGTGAGCGGGGTCGTTCTTCAGCTCCGTTGACGGGTTGACGGCCGTGGTCGGTTGCAGGATCGAACGGATTATGGGGCCACCCAGAGACAAGCGGCAGTGGTAGCAAAAAAGAGTGGTGATGGTCCTGGCCGTGTGTGAGTTCCCGTTCCCGGGCGGCGGTGTTGTCGACCGTGTCTTTGAAAACTTGTTCAAGCCAACTGCGCGTCTCTTTGGCCACATCGACCACCTCTGCACAGTCCGCAGCAGCGGCCGAGACAAGGAACCGCACTGGGGCTGGAAAGTTTGGGTCGTGGTGGTTTGTGTGCAGATTTAGATGCAGGTCCGGGCCCAGGTACGAGTGCGTCTGCTTCTGCGTCTGCGCCTGCGTCTGCGCCTGCGTCTGCTTCCGCGTGGGATGCTGCCGTTGTGTCGTGGTGGTAACGGTGGTGGTGGTAGTGGGCGAGGGGTGCGCCGACTCTGAGGATGGTGAGGAGGAACCTGAAGGGGGGATTGGATTTGGCACTTGGGGGTAGGGGACCCTTTTCTCTAATGTGAAGACGGCGCCGTCCTTTTCAAGTTTGTCTTTGTACTGGTTGCCTCCTTTATTATGCGATTGTTGGTCTCGACTCAGGCTCTTGCTGCTGTTGTTGGGCTTCTCGTGATTACTTCTCGTTCCGCTGCTGCTGAATATGCTGGTGCTGCTGCTACCACTTGACCCATCCTCGCTTCCCTTGGGCTGTTGGGGATCGTCCACGTTCTCGCCAGCTCTTGGGCTTATGCACGCTTGAAGCTGAAGTCCGGGTCTCGACGCGGGGGAAGAAAGAGGGGGGAGAGGGGGAAGAAGGGACGGCGAAGTAGAACAAGTTGAAGACCAACAACTTCCACTTGAGGCCGGCTTGGACCCCAATCCCCATCTCCGGCTATCGCCGTCAGAACCGGGGACTCCCTCCCACTTGTTGTTGCGATTCACGTCATTGTTGTCTTGTCCCGGCCGAGCGTTGGAGTTGCGTTTCGCCAAGGGCAGCGGGCGCAAGGGCGGCTTGGACGGGAGAAACGGCTTGTTTCCCTCCTCTTTTCCAGTTTTTGAAAGAGTCCACGACGACAGGGAGGTCCCGCTAGTCGGTGAGGGTACAGCCCCAGGTACCACCGCCGCTGCAGGCGCTGATTGGGGTACCTGAGCCACTAGCAGAGGGATGGTAGCATTCGTGCCTGTGGTGCCCTGGGTGCCTGCAGCGTCTGCAGTGTCAGCTTCCACTTCGATTTCCACCTCAACCTCCAGCAAATGGTCGAGATTCTCCTTCCACTTCCACTTCCCGGAGGTCAGCAACAGCTTCGACCGTGGGTTCCTGCTTCTCTTCCACCTTTTCTTCCCTTCCCCTCAGTCGGCGGCTGCTGTGGCCGGCGATCTCCTGTGCCCCTTCTTGTAAGGCGCTGGAGAGATGGCCAAGGACCCTACTCCCGGCCGCTTCTTTCTGCCATCTTGATGCTGCCATGTGATGATGCTGCCGCCTCGGGCTGTGGTGGGTGTCACTGTCACAATACCATCGGACAGTGACACGCATCTCTCCCGGAGAGCGCTGCAGTATCGCGGTGAGGATGCCCTCTCCAGCCCTGACTCCGGCGCCAACAGTGTCTCCACCAGGGCCACTGATGATGACATGACTGGGGCTGTTGTTGGGGCTTTCGGGGCCCTACCAGCCCTGTTCCCCACGGTCAGTTTCAGCTGCTCCTCCGCTCCTTGGCGGTAGGGGATATACTTCCGCTCTGGAACCCCGATGGTGGGCCCCGAAGTGGAAGAGGAAGCTGACCCTGGAGCCGGACTGGAAGAGACCGGTCCGGGGTTCATTGTTCTTTTTCTCCCCTTTCTCTGGAGCGAATGACCGGTCGCTACAGCGCTCACAGTTCGTCAGCTTTACGTCCGCTTTGTCGAGGCTGTCCGGGCTGTCGCTTGTCCTGTCCAGAAGTCGCAAGATGACAAGGCTACCGCTGTATCGAAGCGCGAAAGAACAGGGCAGCAAACAATATTCCACTCTATCTGACACGAAGGGCTCAAAAGGCAAACCGCGTCGACAAACATCCCTTACCTTTAATGCGAGCTCGTCTACAACCTTTCACGCGCTCAGATCGCGGTTATTGTTCTCCGACATGTCTCATCCCGTTGACGCTATCTTCCCCAACGCTTCGGGTAGCGCGAACTTCAGCGATATTTCACATGCCAACCACCCTCTGAGCCACCCTGCCTCACCCGCCACCTTACAAAGGCGCCAAGCAGTTTATTCGACGGTGAACTTCGAGCAGCACTTGGCGAGTCTTGTACCGGCACGTCACAGCCGATGCTCTCTAACTAATCAAGTGCATGTTTTAGCTGGAAGATCTACACTAAACTTGCTGCGTAGAAAAGAAGCCCGGGAGCAAGAGTCCATGAGGACCAGCTATAATGTTGCCAATAGTATACACAGCCTTCATATCTTTAACTCACCAATCGTCGCTTAATGGCGGAAAGCTCTCAACTCTCTTCTCCACCAGCCAGCAAAGTCCTGAGTTGAGACATCGATACCCAAATCCTTCAGCGCCTTGGTGCTAAGGTGGCAGTCATACGGACGCTGAACGCTCGCGTTAGGGTCGTTGCCCTCCGTGTTCGCCTCCATGTTGTCAAGGGGGACTCCCAAGATCTCTGCAAAGAGCTGACACATCTCATACTTGGTATACTGTTCCTCACTCGACATCTGAAGGATTCTCGGTAGCGATGACCTCTCGGCTCCGCTGGTTGACAGGTACTTGACCGCAACATCTGGCATTCCAAAGTTAGCACCGGCCGACTAGGGTGAGAAGAGTTGGAAAAGAGTTGCAGGCCCATCCATAACTTACCCCGAGCAACCCTACCCACGTCCTCTGTGTTGGTAGGAAATCTCAGCGCCCAGTGGTCCATCTTGACCTTCTTTCCCTCCTGCGCCTTGAAGACAGCGTCCAAAAGGACATTGACCGCACTCTCCTCGTTCCTGCCCTCCTCCGTCTTGCCATACAGCACGGGTACCCTCATCACCACGCCCAAACCCTCCTTGCCGGCCTTGGAAAACTCCTCCATCACGGCCTTCTCGCCGTCCAGCTTGGTAACGCCATAGAGGTTTGTAGGGCCCGTGGCAGCATCAGCCTCGTAAGGTGCCTCGCCTGGCTTTCCGGAGAAGACGTAGTCGGTGGAGATGTAGATGAGGAGGATACCACGCGAAGCACAAGCCTTAGCGAGGGTGCGAGTAGCCTCCACGTTGAGGAGGCGGGTGCCTTCAGGATCGGCGTCGACCTTGTCAGGGAAGCGGTTGGCGGCGCAGTGAACAAGGACTTGAGGGCTAGTGAATGTGTTAGTTAGCCTTGATAGTCCATGTGTTACTTCAAGTCCATATGAGAAAGGACGAGTAAGTGCATCAGAAAAGACAAGCTGTCCAAGGCTGCCTTGTAAGACAACTACGAGGTTCTTCATATCCAACCCGATAAACCAAAAGACATCAATCATGTCCCAACCATAACGCCAAGCATCGTAAGATTCCTCCCATCAGTCCCATGCCCCCAGCCCCAACCCCCCAAATCGGCAACACCAAAACCTGTAGCTCTCACCAGTCCAAAAATCCATCCCAACACACCAATCCAACACAACCCTCCATCCAGGCTATCCCCAGAACCCCAAACCCGAAACTCCTTCCAACGTCAAGCCAGAACACACCTGAAAAAAGAAATGAAAAAAATCAGAAACTCACTTAACATCCTCCAAAATCCTCTCCACCTCCTCCGCCTTCTCCAGATCCACCTTCAGCACATTCACCCCATCCGCCCGCGAGAATCCCGTCCCCTTGACCTCCCACGTCCAGCCAGCATTGGAGCTAAGCTCGGTAGGCACGCTTAGGCCTTGGAAAGCTTTGACGACTTGTCTGCCTAGGAGGCCGGTGGCGCCGGTGACGAGGGCGGTTTTTGTTGGTTTCGTGGTGGAGGCCATTTTCTGGGTTCGTATGACGGGGATTTGTTGAGAGTGGTCGTGGAAGTCAAGAAGGTTGTTCAGTTGGATGGTTGATGCCGATGACGGATCGTTGGAGTAGATGCAGTATGGTACACATCCGACTGTGCCACACGTGTGGCTGAAGTGGCTTACGTTGCAGGTGTTCTGCTTCAGTTCAGTCGCTTCCATCAACGTATCCGGCGTGAGCATGGAAGGAAGGACCGATCAAGAGTTTTGAAACCCATCAGATATGGGATTTCAGAAGCGCATTACTAGCCGGTTTTTTTTTTGAGGTTGTCATATGTATATCATGAAGACGCAAAGAAACAATTCGGTCTCCAGGTTCATATGAGCCTAAAAGTGCGTCCCAGAAGAAGTGAGATAAATGGGAACATAAGATAATTTCACTAGCTCGAGACGCTATCTAATGCTTTGCCTCTTCTTGTATGTTGAAGTCCAAAATCTCGCTCGCTCTCAGTACGTCTACCCGCTATATCTGAACGACTGAATACTGTTTCTTTGCGAGGGTGTGCTCCTGGGGAATCAACGGTCTACAGTGGAATGAACCATGTCTTGTCGAGGACAACCCTATTGCTCAAACGATGATCGCCCACTCAGTGAAAACGCCGTTTTCACTCCACATTCAAGTATGCCGTGAATTAATCAAGATCGGCCACCTTATCCGCCACCATCTCCTTGGTGTTATTCACCACCTTCTCAGGAGGCCGCGTGGTCAAAAGGTTGTCCATGGAGGATGGCTCGACAGGGCTGCTTATTCCATCAATAGGCGGCAGGTTACTGCTGGAAATGCTGGGGACGGGGATGCGGATGTCCTCGGGCGACCCGGGGGTAAACTGCGGGTCAAGGCCGGGGATATGAATGCGCTTAGCTTCATTCTGATACGCCGCCGGAATGATCTCGATAATCTCATCCCTCGGGAATTTGAGCTTGGGGATCTCCATGGGTCTGCAGTGCATCAGGTATGAGTACAGAACGCGCAGAACGCTCTCATGAGCAATGATAAGCACATCGTTCTGCTCGCGTTCGAGTTCGAGAATGATGGGCTCGAGACGGACAGCGAGGTCGTGGTACGACTGTGTATATGTTAGCTGGATTCACTGTAATCTTGACAGCAAACACTAACCTCTGCACGGGGATAACGGTGATGGTATGGGTCAAGCTCGTGCTTTTCCACCTCTTCGGGATATAGTCTACGGATAGCCATCTCCGACAACTTCTCGCACACACCGGGGTTGATTTGGCTCATCTGCGAGCGTTGCCGAACATTATAGCCTCGCTCTTTCAGGGGATCGGCCGTCTGGATCGTGCGGAGTCTCGTAGATGTCCAAACAGCCAGAGGCCTTAGAGGAACCTCGTGGCCGGCCTGTTCGCTGTTGGTCTTCCTTTCTTGCTCCCGATGTCGGAGAAGGGTCTCGGTCATCTTCTCTGCGTATGATCTGCCTTCTTCAGAGAGAGGAGCGTCGGATTTGTAGGACTCTTCGCCTTCTGCTGGCCCAGCCCGGACAAAGAAGGTTGTGCGGGCTTTGATGTGCAGGTTCGTAAGGTAGAAGACGATGCGATGCGAGAGGTAGTTGAAGCTGACATTGTTGTAGAAGAATGCCTGGCCGGCGTTAATCATCTTCACGTAGTTTAGTTCTTCCTCTTGCATGGTTTCGAAAATCGGAATTTTAGTTTCGATCCGCTTCAAGTACCGTTCGGCTGCTTCATCAGGATCCATGCCATCAAACTGAAAGTCGTCAGCACTCATGGCCGTTGTGGCGTTTTTGTTGATTGTACTCACATCCGGCGAATGGATCTTGACGTTCCTGGCATTTTCCTTGAGAATCTCCTCATCATTGACGTACGATTCCAGAAACAAAGTCTGCAAAGTATTAGCGGAAATCCTTCATCCGCACCTCAGCCACCATATAATCTCACCTGCACATCGTGTTTGGCAAACTCCTTTGCAAGCGCACGGCGTCCAGCCGCAGTAGGATTGACGGCGTCGTAGATAGCAACTTGGCCATTTTCGTGGTTGAGCCACGCGTAGATATCCTCCCTGCACTTCTTCAGTATCTTTTGTCGGAGCATGGTCGAGGCTGGAGAGGCATTGGGGTAAAAGTAGTCCTGAGGAACATGTCCGCCCTCGCCAACGGTAGCACGGCGGTAGTCGCCTAGGTGGAAAATCCGCGTCTTGACACCGAGCCTATGAAGGATTAGACGATTGCGTAACAAGTAGGATGAGGTTAAAACGTACCACTGAAGATACCGTGCCATGGAAACACAGATATGACTAAGTTACTGTTAGCATACTTATGAGAACACCCGAGGGTATATGGAGAGCCCTACGTCTTGCCCCGCGCGGGGAGGCCAACCATAACGATAGCAATACGGCCTGAATGGAAGAGCCTGCCAGACATTGTGCTGTAAAGCTGGGCCGGGGCCATATTGTCTTGGTCTGTGACATCGTGAATGCCGTCGATAAAGGTTGAACTCTTGCGACGGTACCGCGGTGCGTTGGCCGCAATCTCGGCAGTTCTGCATATGTTAGCAATTGTCTATGAACAAGTCCACCCCCAAGTTTCTGAAATGATTCCCATGGCTAAGAGTTTGGTTTCCGGTGCAATTGTTACTTCGCAGAATCCCAATTCCAGACTAAAGTAATCGCCAATGACATGGATTGGAGCTCGGTAACGGTGCAAGCCATCTTGAACTTACAAGAGTGTATCCATGTCGCCGGTTATGTTCTGCTTCTCGGGTAAAATGTACTCGTTGCAGTTATGTTCGGTACCAGGACGCAGAAGGGTTGTCCCGTTGCTCAGAGGTTTCGGTCGTGAAGGAAGCCCGGGTGTCGGCGGACGGAGTGGGTGGGCCGCAAGCGAATTTAGCACCAACGGCGCTTGCCTTGTATGATTCCGCAAGATACTTGTAGGATGTGTCCACCAAGTTGTTCAGTTCTTTAGATCTTCGACGGAACACAGAAAGATCGGTATGGCAAAGTTGCTGGAAAGCGTGCCCCGTGGTGTGATGATATGATGCTCGGCGGTGGTCGCAGATGTCGGGAAAGCGTATGTTTCTGACCGAGTGAGATCCGGTTGGGATTTATAAAGGTCGAGACGGCAACCAATATACTGTTCGGTGGTGACGGGAAGAGGTCCAAAGGTTGACGTGCTGACTGGTTCACAAATCCAAATAGCAATAAAGTGGTTGAGATGGGTAGGATGATATTATAACAGATATCAGAGAAGAAATCCAAGTTCTATGTCGCAAAGATTGGAACGATTGTGGTGAGAAATGAGGTACTTCAGCACATCGCAAACCAATCAGTATCACTGAAGCAATTGTGCGGGACTGCGAACGTGAGGGAAGCTCGAGTGGAAAATGGCACCAAAAAGGTGGACGATGCCGGCCGCCTCTTGGCTTTTTGTTGAAAGTTACTCGAATGTGTAGTGGAGGCCTTTTGGCTGGGCGCCAAGGTTCATCACTCCTCTCTCCATGAGGAGAGGGTGGTAATAATCTGGAACACGAAATAAATCTGGGATCAGTACTATATAAATTCTCCTATTAACGTTCTAAAAAATCGCTTATTAATATTGTAATTTCAGATAACTTTAATACCCTATTTCATATTGTAATTAAAGTTGCGTACTAGTAAAATCTCTTTTAATTACATAGAATTGCTATTAATTTAATATAATTAATATTAATCGCTAATAGATATATTAATTATAATACTATTTAATTATTTTTTACTTAATTTCATGAAATTAACTAGTACTTAAAAGTGTAATAAAGGTCACGTTTGTATTAAAACTCTCAAATTTCATAATAAAAAGAAGAAGCCCCTATTTATTAAATATATAGCTCGTACTATCTGGTAGTCAAAGAATTCAATTTGTCGCTACGTAAAAGCGTTGTATAAATAAAATAAACCCGCTATGACACCGCGTATCTATAACTATCTTCGACTAATAACTGACGAAGAAGAAATTACATTAATTATATATATTATTCTTTACTTCTATAGAAAGTTCCTAGCAATATATAAAAATTAATTTTTCAACCGCTAACTATTTACGTACGTTACAGAGTCTATTAACTACTTACGACTCTTATTAATTGAAAAGGTTTTTGGAAATAATTTTAAATGCGCTATTACAATTTACTACAAAGTGAATATAAAGAGAAAGTTTGGGAAATTAAGTAATAATGTTATAATTGAATAATTGAATTAATATTAAGCGTTAATAAAAAAAGAAATTAAAAAAAGAAAATTACTAAGAGATAGTAGTAAAACAAGAATAAAAATCAGTTGTATTACAAACGGTTATAAGAAAGGTTTTATACTAAAAGACCTAATTAATTAAAAAGTAAATGGTTACAATATAATCTGACTAGTAAATTATATAATGTTGAATATTAATTATTCGTTTATATAACTAAAATTAACCATGTTGCAAATTATAAGTCTTATACTTTAATAATATACGTAAGCGCTAAAAGTAAAAACTTAGCTACTTTTTTTATATTTGAAACGGATCTTATAAAAAAGTTTATTTATAATAATTTTGCTACTAACGTTCGCTTTATTAAATTACTAGCCGATTTTTCAAATAATAGACTTATAATTAATGAATTAAAGTATTTTAACCGTTACTCTTTTAAATTATTACTATCTTTTAAATAAAAGTATTTATTATTTATAAATTAGTTTAGCTATATTTAATATAGTATAAGTTGTAATAGTAGGAATTTCAATAATTTATGTGACGGCGCGGCTCAACCGCTGGTCAGCATTGCTTCTATAGCTGCATGGTTCTTGGCAGTGCACAGTATATTCTTTGCGCCGCAGCCATCCTTTATATTCTAGTTCTTCTTTTTCCTCATCTTTTGACCTTCATTCAATAGTAAGGTCATTGTTGCTTTGTTGCATTCCCTTCCTCTATTTGCCGTGACAATTTAATAAGAAGTTTAAGGAAGTAACGAATTAATAACAAACTATTATACCAATTATTAATTATTAATAAACTTGATAAATATTATACTATAGAAGTCTAAATATACATTAAAGCTTTTAATATCGTACTGATAGTACTACGCCTCTATTCTATTTATTTTATAAAGCTATTAAATATTAATATATTTAGTCTTCTTAAACCGCAATATAAAAAGATTCTTCAGAACTGTATTAAAAAGAACGCTTATACTTTTAATGAAACAGACTTTATTCGAAAGTTTCAAAATATATTAAAGGCTTGTATAAAAGTTTATAATACTATAATCAAATTCAATAATGCTAATACTTAGCTATTGAATAAAACAAAGATTTTCGAACAATGAAAAATTAGGTAACTGAAGTAAGTTAATAAGTTATTATACTTGATTAATAGTATTCTTTATCATTTAATTCTTATTAACTATAAGTAAATAAATCTAATTCTCCTATTATTACTTTCCAAAATAAATAGGTTCAGAATTGCTATAGAAGTTCTTATTCTCATTAAAAACTACTATTTCTACAAATTTAATTCCCTTACCGGTAAACATTTCCTAATAACATTATATTTTTCTTCTAAAAAGCTCGCTTTTTATTTAATACTATATGAATGAAAAAGTAATTTAGTAGGGAAAGAGAATCAACGATAAATGAAAGAATAAGAAGGAGAATTTACAAACTACTATGGAAGGGTAAAAGTAATACCATAAACTTATTAAGAGAGGAGCTTAATATTACAGTAATACAAAGATTACGAAAGGAGCGGGAGGAGGAGTAGAGAAAATACATTTAAGCAATGAAAAACATTTTCTAAATTCAAAGCGAAGTTTATGAAATACAGGAGAAGGATATAATTAACGGCAAGGGAAAGGTCTACTAAAATAACTATTAGAATAAATATGAAAAGAACTATAAAATAAAGTATATTCTGATTAATAAGAAAGATATATTTAATTTTATTGAATATTAGAAATATATAACTGATGTTAATTCAAATATACTTATATAGTTAGTAAATTACTTATTTAAATTCCTTCGCACTTTTATAAATGCCCTCTTTCCTTTCAATAACAATAACAAAGTAAATGTTCAAATAGAGCTACAGCAACAATTCCATCTTTTCATTATTTATTACAACTTT